ATTTGGTGAGTCCAGATCCCACTTCCCATGGCTGCTGGTCGGTGTGAGGCCTGGAGCCCCACGGGGAGGGATGAGCAGGCTCCCAGCAAAGCTGTCCTTCCCAGAGCCCATCTCCCAGGGCTCCAGGGGCCTGTCCCCACCATGGGGACACCCCAGCTGTGTGGGGACAGACAGAGGCAGAGCGCCCTGTCCCCTGTGGAACAGGATGAAGGAGCTGCAGAGTTGCCATGGAGATTTTCTCCCTAGCAGATGCTCTGGGCAGGTGCAAGAAGAGGCTCTGCCCCCCTCGCTGTGCGGCACAATGCCAGCCGGATCCTGCAGAAACAGGGAGCCTCTGCTACCGCCCGCTGCCAGCCCAAGGCCACCACTGCCACCACTGCCACCACTGCTGCCACCACGGCCGCCACTGCCACCATTGCTGCCACTGCTACCACTGCCAGCCCAAGGCCACCACTGCCGCCACTGCCCCCACTGCTGCCACTGCCGCCACTGCCAGCCCAAGGCCACCGCTGCCAGCCCAACAGCCACCACTGCCACCACTGCCGGCCCAAGGCCACCACTACCATCACTGCCGCCACTACCACCACTGCCAGCCCAACAGCCACTGCTGCCAGCCCAAGGCCGGCACTACCACCACTGCCAGCCCAAGGCCACCACTGCCACCACTGCCACCACTGTCACCACTGTCACCACTGCCGGCCCAAGGCCACCACTACCATCACTGCCACCACTGCCAGCCCAACAGCCACCACTGCCACCACTGCCAGCCCAAGGCCACCACTGCCAGCCCAACAGCCACCACTGCCACCACTGCTCCCTGCCCACGCCCGTGGGGGGAAACTGAGTCACCTCCCAAGGCACCCCAAGCTCCTGGCCTCACCTCCCCCAGCACGTGTGACGATGGCATTTCTGGGGTGTTTCCACCCGCCCTTGGGACCCTCAGCCCCTCTCACTGCCTGCTCTGGCTGTCACCCATTGCCTCCTCACTGAGCACAGAGGTCACACACAGCGTTACCCAAAATGTCACCCACAGGACCCCCACGCTTCCAGGGCACTGGCACGGTCCACACGGACAGTCAGCAAATGCCAGCCTCCCCAGCCTGTCCCAGGGCTGGAGGGGCACTGTTGGCCCCGGGGGTGGCACAGGGCATCCATGAGATGAGTGATGCCATCCCAGGGTTGTGCTGCTGGGGACAGACACTGCATAGCTCTGAACCCATCTGTCCTGGGATGACTACATGATGATTTTTTCATGTAGATCTCTCCCAAATTTTATCATATAGTTTTCTCCCAAATTTGCCCTGAACCAAGACACCATACCAGAGCACCCAGCCCTCCACCTTTCCTGGTTCTCCCAACACTTCTTCTTCCCCCTCCCTGGTCCTTCCAACTACTCAGAGAATCATGGAATATCCAGAGTGGGAAGGAACTCACAAGGATCCAGCCCCTGGCCCTGTACAGGACACTGCAGCAATCCCACCATGTTCCTGAGAGTGTTATCTCACTTCTCTTTAAAACCACCCTCTGAAGTCCCCAATGCCACAGCATTAGACACCTAAAAATCCCCTTTCCCTGGGTTTTCCCCAAATGCCTCAAAAGCCACATCATCAGAGCTGTTCACAGCCGGCCAGAGCGTGGCTCCTGCGGCAGGTCCCTCCCCAGGAGCAGTTTCCCAGCTCTGGCCAGCCGTGTTTTCCACTCGCTGCGCTGCCGGTTGCGAAGCGGTTGAGGCAGCAGTGGGAGGGTTCCGGGAGCGACACCCACACAATCAAAAGCTGCTCTATCCAGCCGGGCCGAGCGTTTCCGTGGTAAGAGGAGCCGCTGGCTTGTGTACCTAGCGCAGGGGCTGCGTTTCAAAACACGCCGGGGTCACTCTCCCGCTTGTGCAGAGAGCCCGGGAGCGGATAATGGAGGCAGTGTTTGCGCACATTTCGGCACCATCGCGGAAATAACACGAGCCTCGCTCCTCCTGCAGCTGCACGGCCACCAGGGCACCCTCCCACGGGCACCTGGGGGGACCGCAGGCCTGGCCGTGCTGGGATAAAGCCAAAAGAAGCCCCCAACTCCATGGGTCGGTCCTCTTCCCAAAAATCCAAAGGCATTGCAGGATTCTGCTGGGGCTCTGGCAGCCCAGGGCTGGCAGATCTCTTGCTGCTGCACTTGGTTAGCCGTGGCAGTGAGTGGCACTTGCACCCTTAGGGACAGGGTCTCGGGGTGGCAGTGCTGGGTGGGTGTCCCTCAGGGTCCCAAAGGGGCTGCAGTGTCCTGAAGGGACATGAGCCCCTTCCCAGGGAGCAAAGGGCAGCAGGGGTACCTGGTGTCATGCTGAGTGGTGTTGGGGGTGCTGGGGTGGCAGCAGTGGTGGGGGTGTTGTGTGTTGGTGCAGGGCAGTGCTGTGGCACAGGACAGCCTGGCACAGTCCCACAGAGCAGCACCCGGTGCCCTGCATGGCACTGCCCAGTTTGGTGCTGGTGTGGTGCTGAGTGACACTGTGCCTCTTCAGCACCTCGTTCAGTGCCTGGTGTCACAATACCCAGCTGGGTACAGCCATGGTGCTGCCCAGAATGGTGCCCAGTATGGTTTTGTGCCTGCTTAAGTGTCTGGTTCGGTGTCATCATAGCTCTGCCTGATGCGGTGCCTGGTTTGGTGCCCAGGCCAGCACTGCCTGCTGCAGAGCCTGGTTCTTTGCCCAGTTCATGTCTAGTTTGGTGCCTGGGCAGCACCCAGTGCAGCAGTTCCCAGTCAGTGCCCACTGCAGCACGGCCCAGCCTGGTGCCCAGTTCTTTGTCTGGTTTGGTACCCAGTTCCATGCTCACTGCAGCAGTGCCTGGCATAGTGCTCAGTTCTGTGCCTGGTTCCATGCCCACTTGTTTGCCCACGCCAGTGCCAGTCTGGTCCCTGGTTCAGTGCCTGGTTCCATATCTGCTCCAGCGTCTGGTTGCTCGCCCAGCCTGGTACCTGGTTCAGTGCCAGTTCAGTGCATGATTGTTTGCCTTGCCTGGTACCTGCTTCTTTGCCCCATTGCTTTCCCAGCCCATTGCTTGTTTGCCTGGTCTGCTTCCAAGTCCAGTGCCCAGTCTGATGCCCAGCTGTTTGCCCAGTCCAGTTCTCAGACTGGTGCCCTGCTCAGTGCCCGGCTGTTTGCCTGCTCTGGTGCCCGGCTGTTTGCCTGCTCTGGTGCCCGGCTGTTTTCCTTGAGCAGTGCTCTGCTCAGTGCCCTCTCTGGTGCCTGGCTGCTTGCCCTGGGCAGTGCCCAGTCTGGTGCCCAGCTGTTTGGCCGCTCCAGTTCTCAGTCCGGTGCCCTGCTCAGTGCTCTCTCCGGTGCCCTGCTCAGTGCCTGCTCAGTGCCCGCTCCGGTGCCCGGCCGGCCGCGCCCTCCCGCCGCCGCCCCCGGCCGAGCGGCTCCGCGGCCGGTGCGTTCCAGGCCGGCTCTTCGGGGCAGCGCGGCGCGGGCGGCGCCAGGCGGGTGCGCGGTGCCACCGGCGGGTCCCCGGGCCGCCGCCGCCCGACATTGGCTGGAAACTGGAGCAGCGCGGCGGGGACGGTCGATGCCGATCGATCGCGGCGCGGGCGGCACCGCACGGCACGGCCCCGGCGCGGCACCGCACGGCAGCGGCACCCCGGTGTCCCCGCTCCGCGCCGCCCCGCAGCCCCCCGGGGGATGCGCAGCCCCCCGAGAGCGGGACCGGGCAGGGGGTGAAGGCAGGAGCCCGTCCCGGGGTGTCGTGCCAGCACCGGGGGACCCGCCTGGGGGGCGCGCGGGGCTCCGGGAGTTTTGCCGGGTGATGCTGCCCAGTCCCCGTGTCCTTGTGCGCCGGTGGGACGGGGACAGGCGGCGTCAGCCCCGTACCCCAACCCCAGGGCCACCCCTTCGCCCTCCCCGGTCCTTCCTCCTGCTGAAGGGAGCAGCTGGGACATCTCTCTTGCGGTCTCTCCCGCAAGTTCTGGAGCTGGACCTGTCCTTCCCAGTGACCCCGCTCCATGGCCAGCTCCGTCCGGTTGTCCCCAGCACCGGGTACAAAGAGCTCCACGACCGGCCAGCGGCGCTGGGACACGGGCCGAGGGGCTGTGCCCGCCCAGACCCGCACGCCCCCCGCACCCCCAGCAGCCCGAGCATCTGCCGCTCCCGGAGCTGCGGGGGCTTGGCTCCGGCTGCTGCTGCCGGGCTGCTGCGCAGGGGACGCTGCCCAAAGTTTCCTTCCTAGCAGCAGGAAAACCTTTTTTAATATAGGAAAGCAGAGCGGCGGCCTCGCAGTGCTCATGCGTGGCGGGCAGCGCAGCCCAGCTCCCCGCTTCCAGCCGCCCGCAGGGATGGCCGTGTCCCTGCCCTTTATCTTCCCCAGCCAGAGCCGGATTTTCAGGGCCAGGACGCGGTGCTGGCTGAACGGCGGCGGCCACGGCAGCAGCATCTCTCTGCCTCGGGCTGGGGGATACGCCGGAATCCTGCGGTGCGGGATGACTGGCCCCCGACGCCGGAGCAGGGAGAGCTACTTTTCCCGAGACTGCCGTTAATTAATGGCAGAAGGAGCTGAGCGGGCGGCTCGGCAGCGCTCAGGAAGGGGTTTAGCCCCGGAGCTGGCAGTTCTGCACGGATACCCCCTGCCCGGAGCAGGCAGCCCCGGCCGCTGCCGCATTTGAAGTCGCTGGATGAGGGCGGCACCAAAGTTTCGCCAGGTTTTGCTCTTGTTTGACAGTGATTTCAATAATAATGCTGGAGGGTCCCGTGGCAGCAGGAACCCCGGGGGGCTGAGCATCCCCTGGGGAGGGGCGGGGGGGCGGCATTTAAATCCAGGAGATTGTGAAGACTTGGTAAGAAAAAAAAAAAAAATAATAACCGGCTGAATAAAATGCGAAATCGTGCTCCTGGATTTGCTCTCCGCGGCTTTTTGCCCCTGTGGAGTTAGCAGGCGCCTGGGGAGGAGGTCACGGCGCTGTGCATCAGGGCAGGCGTGGGCCCATCCTTCCCTAATTTATTTTTTTCTTAAAAGAAAAGAAAAAAATCCTTTATTTGGCAATTCCTGCATGAATCAAGTTAGCATTTCACAGCTATTTAACACCTGGTTACAGCGTCTGCGGCAGAACCGCTGATACTCCAGCTCGGCGCCCGCTCCGCATGGCGGGATCTGCCCCTTCCCGCAGGCGGGGACCAGCCGGATTTATTTTTCCTCCGTTCCAGGCAGGGATTTAAGGCAGGAGGTGCTTTGCGTGACTTTGTCGGGGGTTTCTCCCGGCGGAGTGAACCCCCAGCTCTCCCCTCAGCTCTCCCCCAGCGCCGTCCCTCGCCCCGTCCAGCTGCCATTACGGTCGGGTGGGAATCGACTCAAGTCCTCAAACCCCAAGAGTTAATCAAAGTGCTTTGAATATGTAAATGCTGAGTATTGTTTATCATTGCCTAGAGCTGATACAGCAGTTTTCCTGCTCAAAGCCCCGTTCAGATGGGAGCTCATGAAAATTCACAACAGCCTCGCAAATAGGTGATGGGGATTATTACCCGCGTCTTCCGAAGGAGCGAGGGGAGGAAGAGCAGCGGAGTGATGCTCCCCGTGGCGGCGGGGATCGGCGATGGAGCCAGTGCTGGTCCGTCCCTATAGGTGTAAACCAGCTCTTGCTTCACTTCCTCCGGCCAAGCGTTTGCCCTGGGCTGCGTGGGTGCAGACGGTGCTGCCGATGCAGCCCTCGGTGGCCGGGTGTGACACTCGCTTAAATATACCCCGAGTTGGCACCAGGCAGGGAATTCCAGGCAGGCAACACGCAATTTTCCATGAGGTTCATCGGCAAGACCTCCAGCAATGAGTGCTCTGTCAATTAATACAACAATGAGCTTGGTGGGGACCTGTGGGAGTGCAGGGGGCGAGGGCAAGGGAGAGGAGTCTGCGCCCCGTGGGAAGGGGCAGATCAGTCTGTGGGTCTCAGCAGGACTCCCTGGGCACAGACATCCCTGCTGTGCAGGCAGGGGGATGCCACGATGGGGAGAAGGCTCTCCCATCACTCAGCTCCTCTGGGTAAGGGCACTCTGGAGGGGACCATGGGGCTGGAGAGCCCAGCTCACTCCAAACCCATCCACAGCACAAGAGCTCATCCTTCGGCGCTTCCCACCACATTCCTGTGGGTCAACCTGTTGACACCAATGCCTGGAAGAGCTTTTGCCCTCAGCCCGGCTGAGTGCCTCTGCATCCAAGGAGATGCCCCAGTTTTGGGTTCCTCTTGTGCAGGGCAGCTGACCCTGGAGGTCCAGGGCAGCCTCCTGCCTCGTGAGCCGTGCCTGCGGCAGAGCTGCCAACCTCAGGGGAGGCTGGGGGACAGCTGGGAGCAGGACGTGTCTCAGCCAGCCAAATTTAATCCTCCTACGTTAGCAAGGCTTAAAATAGGCTCCCTGCAGCATCGATGAGGGTGGTGGAGTTGGCCTACTCCAGCCCTCCCAAGTATTTTGGGGAAGCAGGGATGGCTGTTTTGCAGACAAGCACAGCTGGGAGGAACTGAGCTGTGCTGTCAGGGCGTCCTTTGCTGAAGCCATTCCAGGAATTAAACACACCTTGTGGTACCCTCACCCCTCTAACCTCCCACTGCCACCTCTCAGGGTGCCACCTTCTCCATTGCCATTCCTGCACAGCCCTTTCCTGCTCTCTCCCACGGTCAGAGGATTCATTTTTCCCTGTGCCTCATGGAAATGATCCCTTTTGGTTAAGCCCAGCTTATGGTCTGGTCTTGATCCCCCCTCCATCAGCTGCCCAGAGGAGATGCCATCCTGAGGAGTGGTTGGCCAGGACATGACCTGGGCAGAAAGTCAGGGAGGAGCCCTGGGAGCAAAGCAGGTGTGGTGACACACTGGAGGAGCCATGGTGGGAACCCTGGGGACTCAAAGGCATCAAGCAGTGCTCATCATGTGGAGAGACTCATTCCATGTCCCAGGTATGTCTCCTCAGTGCTGGATGTCCCATGGCGAGGGGCAGCCAGCTGTCACTGCCTTGGGCAGGTCCCAGCAGCTGCCTGGGCAGGGCAGGGTGGTGGCTCCAGGAGAAAAGGTTCCTCCTGCACCTCACCCCCAGGACCCCACTCGGGGCTGGGGGATGCAGGGGCTTGGTCTGTGGTGGTGGCTCCTGGGGACCAAGCTTTGGTGGGGTTTGGAGGCTCCTGGGAAAACGCTGCTCCCGATCCAGCAGTGCCTTGGCAGTGCCCGTGGTCACTGGTGCTGCTCAGTCCCTGGTGCTTCATCCACCCCACAGGCTCTGCCTTCCTCCTGCTGGCTCCCTGCCACAACACCGGCTCTCCATGCCCTCCTGTCCAGAGGCAGGGGCTCCCCTCGAGCTCTGCCCTCCCTGCCTCACCCCGTGCCTGCCTCCCCATGGCTCCTGGGGGTTTAGAGAAGCCATTTTCCCCTTTCTCCTTTCTCTGTGCAGCCTCTCCGTGGGCCCACGCACCAGCTGGGCCCCCCACCATGCTACTCCCACCAGCCCTGCTGTGCTGCCTGATGCCTTCCTGCCTTCACCTGGTGGGGCCGAGCCCTGCACGGGAAGGCAGCGAGCACAAAAGAGGTGGGAGAAGCCTCATCTCCCTTTGTGATCCCTCCAGAGCTCTCTTCACCTGCCTGGTGGATCCCTGAGCGAGATGCCCATCTTCCCCGTGAACCACTCTGTGAGCATCCCCTTGGGGAATCCTCTGGAATGAACTCCCCTTGGCAGGAGCAAAACTCCCTCAGGAAAGAGTGCAGAGACAAATTCCTGTGTTCTCCTGGGCTTTGCCAAGCTCCCTGAGCTGGGAACATCACAGGGCTGCACCGAGGCAGCAGAGACCCCGGTGTGCCACTTTGCTTTTCCTCCACATCCCCAAAGGATCCTTTAGGACCCCTCTAGGCTGTTAGAATCCTTATTCACCTGCAGTCCAACCTCCCATCTGCATCTGTCCCTGCCAGCACAACACAATCCTGTGGGCACTGCTCTCTGCCAGGGTCCCCGTGTCACTGCTGGGGCTCTAAAAGAAAACAAAGCCCCCAGCACAGCCCCTGGTTGTGCACCCCTATGTGGAGGAAGGGTTTTGTCCTGAAAAGTGGTGGCACATCCATTGGTTGAGCTGGCAGGGCTGGCCACCCTCCGTGGTGACCATTCCTCATCCTTGCTCCAGCCCCGAGGGGCTCACACAGCTGCACTCACGGACCACTGTCCTGCTTCTCGTGGGGCTGGCAGCTCTTGAGATGAGTGAGGGGGGAAAAGGAGTCTGCAGGGGATGGAAGGAGTTGGTGAGGGAAGCTAAAGGATATAGAAACTCGCTGGCACATGGAAGAAAAGGAAAAGGGAGAGGGTTTCTCCATAGCAATGACAAAGAATAGGCGATGAGAGGCATTAGTGCATTGCTAAGGGGATTGGTGGATATTCCCATTTGTGCTCAGAAACCCACTGGGACACAACAGCTGTTGAGCTGCTGTCCCAAGACAGTCCCAAAACATCAGCTTTTCCATCGTCTGGACATGGGTACCAGCGGCAGCCACTCAGCTGGAGGCACACCTGGAGCACTCGGGATGCTTGGAGACACCTGGGAATCCACAGCACGCTGCTGGCGCAGGAAAAGGGGAGCATTTCACTGGCATTTTCAAGGAGGATGTGGGACATCCTTGCTCATGACCTGGATAAATACAAAATGGGAAGGAGAACGATGGGGCCCTGACTGAGCAAGAGGGGCAGAGAGCAGCATGGTTTGTGCCAGACCAAAAACATGAATTAGGTCTTGTCCAGTCCCGAGGAAATCCCGTTGTGCCGGGGCTGGGGTTGGCAGCAGGAAGGCGGCTGCCAGGACCGGCTTCCGCAAGACTTCCTCTCCCATGGCCCTTCGTTAGGGAATTAGGACGTAACGAGACGAAGGCAGCAGAGAGGAAACGAGCGCCCGGGGAGCCGCCGCTGGGGGAGCTTCGGGGGCTCTGCCCTGGCCCTGTTTGCTCTCATTAGGGAGGGGAAGGAAGAGCAGGCAGACGCTGGCAGGCCACCATGGCTCGGGGGAAGCGTGGCCACACGGATGCCTGGAGCAGCCTGGAGGGTGCCCAGCCAAGGGGCAACCAGGGTACCCCATAAGCCAGGCCAGCAGGCTGGTGGTGGGGAAAGGGAGTGAGCGTGGAGCTGGGGAGCAGTGGGAGCAGTGGGATCAGCAGGAGCAGTGGGATCACTGGGATCAGTGGGAGCAGCAGCACGTGGGGGTGCAGGCTCTATGCCATGGAATGGAGGGTTGGGCACAGAACTGACCAGCCAGGCACGGGGAATCAGGCACATGCCACCAGCTAAGCTTGCATGCGGCCATCTCCAGGCTCAGTGTGGGCAGGGGTCCAGCACCCATCCGAGCCATGGGCACGCTCAGGAGTGATGGGGCTGAGCCCCAAAGGGAGTGGGATGGAGAGCATATATCCACAGAGCTGGAGCTCGTGAGGGTGGATGTGTGGGGTCCCATGTGAGTGGGTGGGGTGGAGCTGTGGGGATGGATGGGTTGGATCCAGGGTGAGTGGATGAGCTGGAGCCCATGTGGGATACTCAGAGCCCCTCACCTGTCCCCAGAATCCCCCTCCCACCCCTGCTGTAGGATGTTGTTCTATCCACACCTTCCTGGGACAGCCTGGCCTTTGGCCTTCTAGGCTCCAGCCTGGATGTGGCCCCAGCTCCATGCCAGCTCCAGCTCCAGCTCCAGCACCCACAACCAGCAGGTGACAATGCTGGAATAGCCCCACCTGCTCTCCTTGGGGGGCTCTGAGCCCACTGCCCCCTTTCTCCTGGGATCAGGGAGGGTGAATCCCCCCATGACATCCTTCCAGCTCCATCTCTAGGAGCTGCTGGCCTTTCCAAGCTGAGCAGAGGGAAACACCTGCCCTCCAAACCTAGCTCCCCGTGTGCTCCCCACGCAGGGGCAGGACGGGCAGCAGGGACAGCGCTTTCAGTTGCTCGCTATTTTTAATTGCTCTTTCCCAGAAAGGCTGGTGCAGGTTCCTAAAGCTGCTTCCAGCGGGGAGTTTGGAAAGCTGGTTCCAGTTAGGCGCCCGGCGCTCGGAGCTGTTATTTTTAGAAGGGCTGAAGGCAACAGCCCCACTCCCCGGGCTGCTGCTCGGCCCTGGCCATGTCCCCTGGTCGGCGGGACCCCGCTGGACCCTCGGCTGGGGACATCCTGGAGGCGTGATTTTATGGCTGCCCTTTTTTTCTGGTGCTTTTTTGGCAGGGAGGGACTTTCATCTCCTCGTGTCAAGCTGTGCAGCCAGGAAGACCAAAGGCAGAGGATGTGAGCAGTGGTCATCCCTGAAGGGCCGGGGCGCAGAGCAGCATCTTCTGGTTTTAATTAAAAACCATCCGCTGGCAAAGTCTGATGGCGTGAGCGGTGCCTGGGCCGGGACAGCACCAGCAGGGAGCGTCTCCAGGGCAGCGCCCGGCACCGGGCCGGGGCTGCCCCGCGTCCGAGCTCCGCCCCACGCCTGCCTTCCGTCCTCGGTTCTCTTCCCCTGCTCCCTCCTGCCTCCTTCCCTCTCCCCAGGGACCTCAGTGCCACTCTCGCCGTCACTTGGTCACCCCATCCATGGCCATGAGCCCTTAGAGCTCTTCCCCTGCTCAGCCTCACTGAGGTTCCCCATGGCTGCCCAGTTTGGGGGGTGGGGCAGAGAGCTGGGAGTGCCCCCCAGAGCAGATTATCCCAGGGGATAATATCCCATCCATTCCCGGGCCCTGCCATAGACCCCAGACATTTGCCACGGGCACTGTCCCCTCACTGTGACCCCCATCTCTCTGCCACGGGGCTCACCCCATCACTGTGACTCCCCAGTCCAGTTCCACGGGCCCACCCTCTGTCACAACCCTCACCCCTCTTCCATGGAGCTCACTCTGCTCCCGTGCCCCCATCCTCATCCCATCCCTGTGCCCTCAGCCCTCCTCTGCAGGGCTCACCCTCTGCTGTGACCCCCATCCCTGCTCTGAGGGGCTCCCCAGCCACCCCGAGCCGCGCTGACTTCACCCGGGCAGCGATTTCCCCATCACATCAAATTCGCCCAGCCCGAGCCCGGCGCGGCCGCTAATCAGCTGGGTTATCTGCGCCCCATTCTTCACCGCTGCTGCTGTCCGTGCTGCCCCGCCCGGGCGCGGGGGCTCATCCCACCGCCCTCCTCCTCCTCCTCCTCCCGCGGCAGCCACCTCCATCCTTCCTTCCCACCCTGCAGCCCCGCCGCCCCCCCGGCCGGAGCGCGGCCAGCTGGCTTTGCCTGCATTTCGGCTTCAACCTCCCCCAAGGATTCCTAAATCTGATAAGGGAGGGGGGTGCTGCTTTCAAAGGAGCGGGGTTGACCTTTGCCGCTGCAACGAGAGCCGCATGGAGGAAAAAAATTGGCTGCGGCGAGCGGGGGGGGGAGCGAGCGAGCGAGCTGCTGTGGTTTTACAATCCCTAAATAACGCCGGGAGCTGAGCTGTAAACACATGGCGGTACTGCCTGAGCGTGTCCGCACCCCCTCGATGGAAACCCAGCCTGGAAAATACTCCGACCTTAAAGGGGAAAAAAAAAAATAAAAAAAGGAAGAAATCTCCTGAATTATTTAGCGAACGGTTCCAACCCGACGGCTAATTCTGCCGGCAGACGCCGGCGGCCGGAGCCTGGCGTTGGGAGATGATGGCTATCGGCGCTATCGGCGGCGCTGGCGGCGGGAGCTGCGGGGTCCCAGCCCGGGAGGGACCAGCGGCGCCGCAGGGGTGCAGGACAGAGCAGGGAGCCCTGGCCGATGTCACCCTGCCTGCTGCGTGTCCCTCATTCCCTGGTGGCGGGGGACAGAGCACCCCAGCGGCACAAGGGGAGGCGTTCCCGCACCCGCTCATCCCACTGAGACACGCAGAGAGGAAACCCCAGCACCTGGAAAGAGTCCCAACGCCCCCTCCTCCGGCACCCCCAGCCCCACGGGCACCCCAAAAGGTCCCCTCTGCCCGGCCTCGCTGCCCGCAGCGCCCCAGCAGTCGGGGAGAGCTGCCACCCCGTCCCCTCTCACCTGCTTCTTCCCAATTTTTTTTTTTTTTTTTTCTCGGAAGCAACTAACGCTTTTCTTTGAAGAGCAACAGATGAGCGAGACCCTCCCAGCGCCTTTTATGATGTTAAATTTATTGCCTGGCTCCACAATTGCCATTTTAATGACGAACGCTCCCACGGCTTTAACGCGGCTGAGTGCTGGCATTGAAAACAGAAGCCGGGGGGGACACGCTGTCTCCGGTCTCCTGGAGGAGAACGGATTCCAGCCCTTTTCCTGATCCTTGCACAAAGTTTTGCCAAATAGATAATGTGTTTTATAATTTCCAGACGGTGCTGTGCTGGTAAGGGAGGCCCTCTGCTGGCACCGGGCTGATGGGGAGAGCCCCGGGAAGCACCAGCGAGGCATCGAGCCTGGGAGACACCTCTGGCAAGGTGTGCCTGGAGAACCGAGCCTGGAGATCCATGTCGAGCAAGCCAGGCCCAAGGAACCTCCGTTCTGGAGGTGCTGGAGGGCTCACAGAGGTGAGCACAGGGAATCGAGCCCACGGAAAGGAGCCTGGGAAATCGAGTTGGGGAAACCAAGTGGAACCAGAAAAGTGAGCCCAGAGCCAGGAGCAGAGACCTGGACCTGGAGAAAGATGCATGGCCAGCCCAGCACTGAGGGTCACGCCTGGGCTGAGCCCATCCCAGCCCTGCTGCATCCAAAGTGAGCCCCAATCCCTGCAGCCCTGCTGGTCACAGCGAGGTGGCTGTGCACACCCAAAGGGAGCAGCCCAGACCTTCCCTTGGCTGGGAAAAGCCCTGGTACATCTGCCCCATGGGTGGTACCATGGGGGAATGTCTGGGATGCTGGGAGGGAAGGAGGGGAGTGATGGCAGCTTTGCCATGGGGTGGGATGGAGCTGCCAAAGCCCCACTGTGTCCCAGATGGGGCTGGTGAACATTCCCCCTCCTCTGGGCACAGAACCCAGGGGTGACAGTCCCCACACTGGGAGTCCCCAGTCCTCTCCAGGAGGGCATCAGGGCCCTGCCAGAGGACAAGGATAAGTCTGGAGCTGGCGATGGACAGCTGCAGTGTGGGGCCAGCCACGCAGACCCACACCAGGGATTTCAGCTGAGGACACAGACTTCTACCAGGAGATGCTTTATTTTTTTTAACGGTGCCTGAAACTCAGCCTGGGTTATCAGGGAGATATTAAATTGCTGTTGGAAGCGACACCAGTGGGGCGGAAAAGCCATGCTGTGCTCTTACCTCTTCCCACAAGGTCGAGGCAGGCAGCCCCGGGGGACGACGCATTCGCCGCGTCCTTCCTGTAGCGAGGATCACATGTCAGAGCCAACGAAGCCTTGAGAAAATTAAACCCGTGAGCTCACCGCCTTCCTGAGCGCAGGCGCCAGCCCTCCCCGAGGTCCCCGAGCCTGGACTGCCAGCTGGGGTGACCTGGCAGCAGTGCCAGTGGCAGGAGGATGCCACCTCCCCAGGGGCCAGCAGCAGTCCCCACCGGCGTGCCTGCAGCTGGGCTGTGCGGTGAAGGAGCTTTGAAGCCTGTTGTGCATCACTGGCTGATGGGGAAGGACCTTCCCATGGGAAGATGCTGTCAGCCTTGGCAGAACACAGCTGCAAAAGTCTCCTGAAGGCCTTCAGCCAGATTTCCTCTGGGGATCCAAGTTCCTGCTTGGGCAAAGGGACGGACAGATGGGTTCAGCCCTGGTGGGACTGGCACATCTTGCCATGGCCAGGGCTGTGCAAACACTGGGAGGGACCAGGAGTGGGGCTGGGCTTTTTCCAGGGCAAGGTAAGTGCTGTTGCCTCTGTGACACAGTGGATGGACAGAATCAAAGAGAAAGGCAACAGAGTCTGCAGGAGAGCCTGTGTGTGCATGGGGGTTCACCTGGAGACCCCCAAGAACACAGGGACCCCTAGCTGCCAACCCCTCAGTCAGCTGGGACCAGCACTGGAGAAGGGACATCACGAGTAACACTGCCTGGGAGGGACAAGAGGAGCCAAGAGTACGAGTTTGGGACCTGGGGACAGTGAGGGATTGCCCAAGATAGCAAGAGGAGCAAGGGGAGGATGAAGGAGAGGTCCAAGGGAGGACCTAGAGACAACTGTCCATGGGGCTGTTAAAGCCCCAGGGCTGAGCCAGACCTCTTCCCAGGGCACCCTCTGCTCTCCCAACTTTGCTGACACTCCCCAGCTCAGAGGGGGAGCAGAAATGCAGCTCAGCTCTTGCTCCTTCATCACCCTCTTCCTCCTCCAACCAGCCCAGCTCTGCACTTTGGCTCTGCCCCTTCCCAGCCAGCTGGGCACCAGGGCTGTTTTTTCATGTTCCCACTGGGCATCCTCCACAAGGAATGGGGTTTCAGTGGGTCCATGGACCCCTTGGCACAGCCCTTGGGGGTCTCCAGTTTCACCAGTGGCACAGGCAGGCAATGCACACACACACACACACACACACACACACACACAAAAACCCCCTCTCTCTGCCACCACAGGGGCCCAGGCTCAGCAGCCGCCTCCAGGCCCTCCCCAGGACCAGCAGGGGCACAGCCAGCCCCAGCCCTTGGCACAGCCCAGCCCGGGCAGGGCTGCAGCCCCGAGCAGGCGGCGGAGGGACGGCAGCAGGCAGGCAGGAGCCGTGCGGGGATGCTCCAGCAGCTGCCGCCAGCACGGCTGGCGGATGCCCTTTGGCCAGGAGCAGCCAGGCTTTTTTTCCAACCCTTCCCAGAAAAAAAACAACAACCCAAGCCCCATAACAAGCTGGAGGGAAGCAGCGAGGAGGCGGCAGATAAGAGGCTGGAGCCGCGCGGAGGCCTCACGGAGATGAAAGGCGATTGCGAACGAGCCTCCCCATCCCCTGCGGACAAAAGAGCTCCTAAAATATTAACGAGGCCCCGTGCCGCCAGGTCCCCCGGCCCCCAGCGCCGGCAGGAGCAGGCGGTACCCGCGCTGCCGGCCGAGGGGTCCTGGGGGATGGAGGCGCAGCGGGGAGCAGCGCAGGATGCTCATTAATTACCTCCGTGCTCCGCGCTGGCAAACGTGCCCCCCGCTTCCCTCGCCACCCCAGGGAGCCACTGCCACCTCCCCAGCGGATCGGCGTTTAAAGAGCACCGAGCAGGGGCTGTGTGGGCATGGTGGCCCCTTGCTGCCATCTCGGCACCCGTGGGTGCAGCCTCAGCCCCCCAGCACCGCCCAGGTGAATTTGGGGAGAAGCTGGGGCAGCTCACGGGGGTATTTGCACACCAGCAGTAGGGTGGGGAATGGGGAGCAGGGGAGGGTACTCACTCCTGCTTTGTCTGCCTGTGGCTCACCAGGCCCAGGCTGGGGATGGGTGCCTGGGGTGGGGTCCTGTGGGAGCAGCCCGCCCTGAGGGGGATGAGCACGCTGTGCCCGGGACACGGGCACTGCTCCTGCAGCATTCCCGCTCCATCGGCTGTCCCAGTGCCCAAGTGGCTCCGTCCCCACTGGTGCCCATCCTCGGAGCCCACCTGTGCACAGCACAGCCGGCCCGTGTGCTGCAGTCCCGGGCCTGGCTCCGTATCCCGGCGAGGACAGGGGCACCGTGACACCGGCAGCCAGGCCGAGCACCCTGGGGACTGGAGGTGACCTCGTGGAAGAAGCATCCACCCGCCGAGGGCAGAGCTGCCCCGTTCCCTCCTCACTGGGCAGAGCACAGGGCTGGCTGTCAAGGGGGCGGCAGGAGAAGGGCGATGTTCGTGCTCCTCGAACGTGGCTCCGGGACGAGCAGCGGGATAACAACAGCTCCAGCGCTGGGTCCGGAAGCGGGTCCGCAGCAGCCGTCAGATCGGGGCATTTGCATAGCACAGATGGCAGCCCAGGAATTTCAAAGCGTCCCCCGTGCCGCGGCAGCTGAAGGGCTCGGTGGCCCCGCGCAGCTGCCGGAGGGAAGCCGAGCTGCCCCGGCCTCCGGGGCACACCGGGCACGGCACGGCACGGCACGGCCAGCACCGCTGCCCAGCCGTGGGGCAGCGATGGAGGGGGACGTGCGGGCTCCGGGCCCGCATGGAAGGGCTCCTGCAAGGGCTGGAGGGCATGACATGTGAGAGACGACGGGAGCTAAATTTACACGGCGGCCGAGCGAGCTGCCTCCAAGGAGACGTGATCACGGGCTATAAATACCTGCAAGGAAACAACGGGGACAGGGACGGTGAATTATTCACAGGCGCAAGATGGCAGGGCACGGAGCGCGCCAGGCCGGGAGAGGGAGCTGGGCCGGGGCAGCCCGGGATCGGCCCGGCTGTGGGCCATGGGGACAGCTAGGGCCGGGACACCCCTTGTGCCCGGAACTCCTCGGTGGTGGCGGTGTGAGGGTCCCGGGGGTAAAGCCCAGCCTGGCACCGTGCTGCCCCGAGGTGCCTCCTCCAGGGGGTGGCTGGCACCAGGGATGGCCGCTGGTGGGAGGGGGTGGCCAGGTTGTGGGTGCCCCTGCCAGACAGGGGGTGAGGACAGGTCCAGCATCTCCCATGCTGGTCCTGAGTGCACAAGAGGGGACAGCAATAAGGTGATGTCCCATGTCCCCTGCGCTGGAGGCACCCCCAGCCTGCCCTGTCCCGCTCCGTGGGTTTCCCAGAGGATGCTGAGCAGACACAGCAGCAGGACAAGCCCTTTGTGTCTGCAGGAGACACTTGGGGGAGGATTTGGGGCTGGAGTGTCGAGGAGCACATCTGCTCTACTTGGGATTCACGGGCTTTCAACGATAAAAATAAAAAATAGAAATAACAACTAGTTTTATTGCTGCTAATGAGAGCAGGTTCCTAAAGGCCGGTGCTGGCGGTGCCGTGCCCCGCTGGCAGGGCAGGGTGCGGGGAACGGGGGATCCCCAGCCCCGGCCCCGCCGCTTCCCGGCCTCTGCTGCCCTCGCCCGGCCGCGGGGAGCGGAGCGGGAGCAGGGACCGCCCTGTCTGCGGCTATTTCCTAATTCGAGCCCTTCTGGGGGGTATTTCCTCTTTTCAGCTGTATTTTTTCACCCACACTGAAGGAAGGATTAGAGGAGACCCCGCTGTCCCTCAGCCCCCTTCCGCTTGTCCTCACTTTCCCCCTGCTCCCGGCTGGGGATTCTCCTTGTGCCCAGCTCCACTCCCACTGGAACGCCCAAAGCTGTCCTGACAAACCACACCTGAATGATAAACGCTTCCCCATGGAGATCCAGCTGCCTCTCCCCTGGCCAGCCCAGCTCACCCTTCCTGGAGGAGCTTTAAGGTCCCTTCCAGCTCAAACCAGTCTGTGACTGCAATTCCCACATCCTTGTTTCAGGGGGAACTGCTGCCCTGTGACCCCCAGCACTCCAGGGGTCCCTTGCAGGCTCCCCACAGCTCTTGGTGAAGGTACAGCAGTGCCCAGGGTGCCACATCCCTGCTCAGAGAAGCGTCCCTGCCCTGCCCTGCCGGCTGCAGGCAGCTGCCTGTAATCAGACCCCCAGCATCCCTCCTCCTCCTCCTGGAAAAAGTCACAGGCAACCAGGACACGGCACTCCTGCCTGGTGGGGGTCTGAGGGAGCTGGAGGGGTCCAGGGCCAGCACAGGACCATGGCTGGTGGGATCCCAGCCCCAGCTCTCCCAGCAGCTCTGTCTCAGACCCTGGCCTTGCCATGGCTCCATCCTTCCTGCTCCCTGAAGAACTCCTGGAGCTTCCAGCAGTCCCCAAAGCCAGGAGGATGGATTCTCTTTGGAAAGAGTTTCTGGATCTGGTGGTTTCACTTCAGGGGCAGGCTTGGCTTGGGCTTGAGGAAAGGATCAGCAGATCCCGTATTTACACTGAGATGTTTGGGGACTCTGGGTCTCAGCACCAGCTCCATTTCCCCTTCCACAAAAAAAATCCCTGCAACCAAAGGGAATGGCACAGCCTGGAAGGCAGAGCTAGGAAAAAACAAAAAAAAAACCAAAAAAAAAACAAACCTATAAACACCCCATCTGCTCCTGTGGCTACACAGCCAAGGGCTTAACCAAGAGCATTCAGTGCTCAAACGCTGCTAATGCAGCTCAGGCAAGGGCTGGGACAGTCATGGCCTGGCAGAGAGACAACTCTGCCAGGAGGAAAAGGGAAAACACAACAGGAAAACAGAGGAATGGGCTGAACAGTAGGAATTTTCATTCAGCTCATGGAGATGCAAGTCACCCCCCAGGGCACAGGATGCATGGGAGGACTCAGAGCAGGGGAGGTTCAATCCCACTGCAAAGCCCCTTTAGTTTTGTACCAAAAGGGCCTCACCAACACGTTCCTGAGGCTCATCCCGTGTCATCCCCACACAGGACAGTTCCCTCAGCACAGGCTCCAGGCACTGCCACTGGGAGGTGCTCCCAGTTCTGCCCCATCTGCTCCTCCCTGGGGCCGGGCTGGGGCCGTGTCATCACCCCTTTCCAAAAAGCCTCTGGTCAAGGACTTGGGTTTTCCTGGTGGGTGCCTTACAGAGGCCAGCACAGCATTTTTGAGTGGAGTTATTTGACCCAAGGCAGGATTTGACATAAGGGAAGATTTCAGCATTTAAATACAAAGCCTGTGCTTACCTGTCCTGTGTCAGCTCAGACTGCAGCACTTGCACTTGATGATCTCTGAGGTCCTTTCCAACCTACCTGATTCTCTGATTTCAACAGTTACCCCACAACAAGCCCAATAAAACCTACATGACAAAAACCCATCCTCCCATGAAGTGTCCAGCGTGGATCTGGAGAAGTTCCTACAGCTTGTCCATCAGCGTTTTCCAAGAAAGCATCACCAGCTGGAACAGGGAGTGCTTTATGTTGGTACTCTGGGTTACAGCAGGAGCAAACTCCCACGGAGCTTTATGGAAGTGGTAAATCCAGCAGGGTCAATCCCATCTCTGACTCAATTGGATCAACACGCAGCTGAAGCTCACCTGGCCCAAGGTGCCACGGCTGGGCTTTATCTCACACACACCTTTATCTCTGCAGGTGAGTCCCCACATGCACCTGCTTGGACACAAGAACATCCAGGAGCTGCTGTCACCTCACTGTCCCATGTGACCCCACTCATGCTCACCCACTGCTCCATTCTGCTTGTTTTCCTGAAAATCAGAGCTCTTATCCCACACAGTGTCAAGCAATGGGGATAAAAAAGAGGGGACAAATCAGGGAAGCCGTGCACAGGGTTAATCAGGGGATCAGGAATGTTGGGACATCATTCCTGCAGCTGTGCAAGTGACAGCCAAGGGTGGGTTTTAAGTACAGTGATCCTTTCCTGGAGCTCTGCTGACACCCAGTTACTTCTCTGCTCCCTGCAACTCCCTGGCAGGAGGTTTGAACCATGTGGGGGTCAGCCTCTTCTCCCACATAACAGGACAAGAGGAAACAGCCTTAAGTTGTGTCAGGGGAGGTTTAGGTTGGAAATTAGAGAAAAGATATTCACTGAAAGGTGGCTGGGCATTGGCACACACTGCCCAGGGATGTGGCAGACTCACCATCCCTGGAGCTCTTAAAAAAATCTGTGGACGTGGCACTTTGGGACATGGCTTAGTGGTGGCTTTGGCAGCGCTGGGGGAACTCTTGGACTCGTTCTTGTGGGGTTTTCCAACCCAAATGACTCTGTCTGCCTGATGCCCTGCAAATTCCTGCTCCCACGCTGAGCTGGCCACGCACAGACCTCCCAGAGAGCCCCAGACAGCAGCACTGCAGCGACTCACGGAGCTCCAGGGCAGGGGCAGAGAAATAATCACCATCCCAAGCTGTAGGGGAGGTTGTTTCAATAGAACTTGCTAAACGCTGACCCAAGAATAGCCACAAGGCAGGAGGGAATCAAACCTCCCAAACAGCACAACTGCCTCGGGCACCTCAGGGGGAGCACAGAGAATTTAGACACAAAACACCAGCTCTGCTTAAGGCAGCCAGAAAGCTCTGCAGCAGTCACTCCATGGCTACCTTTGCTCCATCAGAACAAGGAATGAATGCTCCCCCCTTTAGAACACTGCCACTTGCTCCCAGCTGTGGTGGCCCAAGGCCAGCTTTCCTTTCTCCCAGCCTGGCCAGCTCAGATGCCTCCTCCAGTGGCAGCAGCAGGGCAGGATGTGCCTCCCCAGCCACCTCCAGCAGCTGGGGCTGGGCGAGGGCAGGACCCTGCAGCTTCAGCTGCACACAGGGACACAGACACTGGGGAGAGAAAGGCTTGGGGTATGGTGCTTGTGCCTTCAGGACACCAATTCACTTCTTATTCAAAATGCCGTTTTTATCTATATCCCAACAACCTGCTCTTTCAACCCAAAGAAATGTTTAGAGTTGAGCAACAAACAGATTTGCTCAGGAAAGGAGGAGAATGGTAAATACACCCAACCCCCGCTAGCCCCGGGGTGGTTTCACCTGACTAGACAACAATAAAAACTAAATCTTCTCACCCAGAGAAGGAGGGGGTGGGCACACAGAGGCAGAACCACAATAAAATAGAACCTGTGGGTGCCAAATCCAGGTTAGAGAAAGCCATGGGCTGTGGGAACCAACCGCTCCAGCTTCCCCAGCACCCCACGTGCCTTGTGCTCTGGCTCCAGAGCTGATCCCAGCTTTTCTCAAGTGACCCCACTGGATCAGGGACTGGATGAAGCTCATGATGAAATCAGAGCACCAACAAACTTTCTGTCAAGTCACAACTTCCAAAAAGGAAGGGGACAGTGTTGGGCTTGGTGAGAGCACAGACAAACATGCATGTCTGCATGAAGACAAACAAGCCCCAAGGCTACTCCAGCTCACCCAGAAAGCACTGCCGGTGGTCAGAGCAAGCCAGGCTTTGCAGGAAGCTTAAAAAACAAGAGGAAGGTGACTGGACATAGTTGAGAGAGGGACGGGGCAAGACTGGAGCCTCAGGGAGAAGGGACAGAGCAGCCACAAGAGGAAAGGAAGCAACGTGAGCCAAAATAAATGGGCAAAAGTCACAGGTAAAGCAAAAAAAAAAAAAAAAAACCACCAAAAAACTCGAAACAAAAAAGCAATCAAGCCAGAGAGTTTAAGGGAATTATTTAATGGTGATCAAATTGCAACACAATACAAGAGTACAAACAGTGTTAGCATGGACCTAGTCACACACACGTCCAGGCGAGGAGGGGCAGCGAGGACGGGCTGCAGGGATCCCTGCCAGAGCTCCAAGTGCAGTCACTCACACAGGGCTTGCTCTCCGTGCCTCTCGAGAGCTGCACAGCAGGATCTGTCCTGCTTTTAACCTTCCAGACACCCTCAATGCTCTTGTCCCTGTGCATTCCCTGTAAGAAACCACATTTGCCAAACCCCAACAACTGAGATCTGCAGCTTTTGCTCCAAGCCTACCCAAAGAGCCACGGAATGGAAGGAAGCAGGAACTGTGGGGATGAAACTCCATTGCAGCTGTAGGAGAGGGAGGGAGACTTCCCTCGTGCTGCAAGGATGAGAAGACTTTTCTGAGGTTCTGTATTTAATGGGGACAGCCTTCCTGCCACTCAGATACACCTCCAGGCTTTTATTCTCCCAGGAGATGACTTTCCAAGCTCTGCCTGGACGCACTGGCATGCCTGGAGCCTTAGCCAAGGGCTCCTCCACCTGGAATGGGAGTGCTGAGCACATTCAGAGGTGGTTTGTTGTCCGGGCTCTTCAGAGCAAGGTGACACGTTCACTCCATTCACTGCTGCGAGCAGTTTCGCCACCTCCCACGCCCCCGGGGCTCCTGCCTTGCTCCTTCCAGAAAGAGCTTCTCAGGCACAAAGAAATCCCCCTGTCACTGGGCACAGCTGCCCTCGGGATCCTCATCTTCTCCTGTGCATCAGAACTGGCAACAAGAGCAGCTCCAGAGATATTTTGCTGCTGAAGATGACCAAGGCTGTAAAAACCAGAGCCAGGCATTGCTGTCTGCAGGCACAGCTGCCAAACAGCAGGGAAGAGCAGGCATGGACAGGGAACAGTCTGCTACACCCACTAAGGACACAAGATCATATCCAACTTAGCCCTGCTGGTTTTCCCACATCATTTGATGGATGCAGACTGAACAGAAGAGTCTGAGGACACTTTGGGATGCAGCTTAGTTGGAAGCATTGGAATAACAGGGTAATAACTAATTAAAAAATCCCTCTTGCCTTCCTATGACAGAAATGCAGCAGCACATCCCACCACAGGACAAGCTGGGTGTTTGAAGCACAATAATCAGGTCTCCAGCACTTGCCAGGATCAGCTCCATCCCACTCTGCAGGTCCATGGAGGCTGGGCTTTGAGCCATGGGAATGTTTAAGCCAGCTCCTGCACGAGTGGCTGCTCAGTGCTGAGCCAAGAGAGGTTCCAAAATACAGGGATCACATTCCTCCTCTGGGTCACTCTGAGCCGTGGACAGGCACTGATGAGCACAAGGAATGCATCCAGGCACAGTGTTCCAGCTTTGCTGCCAGAGCTGGGGGGTTCTAGGCAGCCCAGCACTATCTTTAAATAAAACACACTTAGCACGTGACAGGAAAAAAGGGAATTGCATGAACAATCTACATCCACAGAAGGCCCAGCACAAAGAAAGCCAAGCAAAGGGAATCAGGCAACTTAAATTACTAAACCAAGTTAAAAAACTGGACAGGGATGGAAAAGGTTGATGACATGACAAGCTCAGGATTCCTAGAAAGGTAGTGACCAAGGCCCCTGGCCTCATGTGCTGTTTGACATTACAACACACTCAATGCACAGCTTCAAAGGAGCAAGATTCTAGTTCCAAAAATAGCTAAGCTGGGTCAGGTTTTCAGTTAAATGCTAAAGGCTCCTCCATCTAGTTCACAGTACAATCCTCAACAACAAATGGTCAACCCACAGGAGGTACACAGAGCACATCCTCCCATCTCAACCATCACCAGACCTGCTTTTAGTACACAACTGTGGTCATGCCATCAGCAAAAAGGTCAGAACTGTTTAAAACACCTCACTGCAAATGAGCTCATCCCAACATGAGCAGATGTGTGTTAATGCATCCTCCAAGCTGAGCTGTTACAGGTTCAGGACTGTTTCAGGGTGTGTGTGGCTTGTTAATGTCCTGTCACCTCATGTTTGTGGCTCCTGGCCCACCAAAAAGAGAAACCATCCTCCTCAGTTCCCTCAGCTGTCACTGCTGCCTCCTCTCCTTGCCTCCTCTCCCATACGGTCTCTGATCTCTTCCAGTCACTGCCAATTTTCAAAGGCAGTCAGATCTGCCACAAAAGTCATTCTTGGGTGGCTCAGTTGCAAAGCAGTTAAAGAGAATCCCCCCAAACTGTTCACAATCAGTGCAGCCCCTTCCCTGTACTTCTGTGACCCCAAAGAAAATCATGGGAGGGCAACTCTGCCACAGCCAAGGTGTATTGGAGAGGCCAGCAGGAGCACAACAGCTCAGGAAGGGCAAGGCCATGGATCCAGGCTGCCACAAACCCCAGCCACACCAGCTTACACTGCAGTTTTGATGCCACAGGTGTCATCCAGGACCACAGGCAGCTTCCCAGACATCCAGAACCAACACCCTGTGGATAACATGAGTTCCAGGTGACCCAACCCGAGCTCTGCAGCCCTGCACACCGATGTCTCCCCTTCCCCTGTGGCCCTACAGTGTCCCTCAGCCAGGACACGTGGCCACGTGCTCCTTCCTTCTCAGAGCAGCTCTGCCGTGCCCTGGAGCTGCTCTGTCCCCAGGGCAGCAGAGCTGCGCAAGGGCCCTCGTGCCTCTGCAGAGGGACACAGCTGCCTGCAGGAGGGCTCACACCTGCCCAGCACCATCGAGAGATGAGACAAGAGGAACAGATTTAGACCAAAAGCAGTGGACATTTATTCCTCGTTTGTGCAAGAGTGTCAAGATGCATTTGGGAATGGCTGGGACAGACCCTGTGGCTGGAGAGCCAGCGGCTCCAGCCTCTCCTGCCCGATGGCTTGGGTTACAATTCTACTAAGAGGAGATAAACTTGCAGACTCACCTACTGTCACACCAACGATGCTGGCAAATACACTTGTATACAAAGAAAAGTTTCAAACTACATTTTTTCACTAGATTCAAGTGAAGACTTTGTTCCAAAAAAAAAAAAAAAAAAAAAGAAAAAAAAAAAGACACATACAAGTACAATTTAAAACTGTATGAACATTTGCAAATGTTTAGTGCAAAGTAATTATGTAAAAGCTACATTTTATGAAAGTTTGTGCTGATGTGTTTGGTAGGTTTTTTCTTTTTTTTACCCTTTTACATCCATTTTTTTAGTTACATAAGGTTTCACTTACCTACAGTACATATGCATTGTGTTAGGTCCCATGCAAGTGGGAGTAATACCATCAGGCTTTGTAAAATGTCACTCTGATTCGCATTTAGTAAACTGCTTATTTGGTTTAACAGTCAAGTTCCTGGCACACTACACATCCTGATTTCATCTAAGTGCTCAAGCTCCTGTTTGCCTCTTCAGGTGCCTTGTGTGATGCAAACCAAACTGCTTCACGACTTCAGCCCAAAAAGTTTTTTTAGAGAAATCCACCGTTAGTTTAAGCCTGTAACAAACTGCTCTGAAAATTAAAAGCCTATTCACACAAAGTTATATGTAATGACTGTAGTAATCAGTTTATTACACAGATTAATTCATTCTTGAACGTACAAGCTCCAGGGGAGCAGTTGGGTCTTTAAATACACACAAGTTTTCTGTCATATGGATTTTTTTTTTTTTTTACCCTTACATCCAGAAAGACCTAAGCAGTTAAAAAACTTAAGAAAAATAAGAGCTATTAGCTAGGTATTAACTGAGAAACCACATACAAACCAAAAGAAGTATGAAGGGAGGGAGAGAGTTGAAACAAATCAACATCACTTGATGCACTAATAGCTCCAATCCATTTAAATGGTGACCGGTTAAACTTAGACCTTAAACACAGGATGTGGGTACAGTTTCTCATTGGTCATAACATTTACCTAAGGTGTAGGTCCTTCAGAATAAAATGAATACAGAAACAGCTTCAAGTTCTTCACCTTGCTTTTCATAACTGTTATGAGTTTAAAAGGATTCCACTTAAAATCCTTCATGGATCAGCAACACCGTCCCTAGAAAATCTGAAACCCACCAGAACTCTGCCCATTCCCATTTGATTTCCCAATTTAACTCAGCAAGGAATGCTTTTAGGCTCACAAAGTTATGACTGAAGAACCAGCTTTTCACACACACACTTCTCTGCTAGGAGTCAATGTTGGTACGGGGAAATACAGTATTTCTAGTTTGTTGTTCCAAGTATGTACAACACGCAGCACTGCTGTATCAGGTAAACATGTGCACAGGGGAAGATGAGGCGTGGGCTCATAGAAAGCAGTCAAATGGAAATCAAAAGGACTTTCTCTTTCAGAGTTCCCCTATCTTTATTTGTAGAGGTTATCCAATAATTTCTTTAATTACATCGCATACTTCTGAGTCCATTCCCGAGCTATTCTGTTGTACCTGTATGTATAAAAAGAGGATTTACTCAACATGGCATCTGCACAGATTTCAGCTCCAGCACTCTAGTCTACACATGGCATGAAATCACAGTACTATCATCAGTTTGTAAAATTTAAGAGCAAAATTAAACATTATGCAAACAGGGGAAACACGAAAGCCCACAGTGCTTCATGGAAAAGAAATACCTGGTGGTATTTACAACAGGAGATCTCAGATCTCTGTGACTGGAGACAAAAAAATGGAGCTAGAACAGGGCTGAGGGGAAAGGATTTTCAGGAAGACTTTATCTGTGCCTCCCCCAGCCCCATCTGCTGTGTCCCTGGGGAAACTCTTACTGTAGGGTTTCACTTGGTCATTCTGGAAAATAGATTAACATGTTCCCCCATCTCCTGCTTCCCTGGAAAGTTAAGCCCAGTACCTGCCATCAACTCATCTGCTAAACCCCAACAGCCTGATTTTGTTCTATACATTTGGCTATTTTGATGACTGTCAGGACACAGTGATTTGTCAATTCCCAAGAAATCTGTGGCTTTTACATCCAAATATTCTTTACAGCCAGAGGAAGCTCAGGATACTTGTGTAAACAAAGCAGTTGTGTGCTTAACTGCACTGCTGAGAGCTTCTCTGACAACAGAAGGCAACATGTTCATGTTCTACAGAATTTGTAGAGTAAGACAAGCCTGAAGTTCCCTGTAGTTACGCATACCAAGTTGGTTTGGTGTTGGAATTTAGTCTGTAGACAATATTCTTTAGCTTAAAAATCTGACAATCTACTCATAACTAACTCTCTCCTTCATATCACTGCTCAAGAGACTACCCAAGGAGCAAGTCCTTGTGTTTAAACCCAAAATTTATTTCCCTATTTTTGTAGAAAACAGGAAGGAGTTCTGCACACTTAAAAGTGCAGATAATCACTGTTGATTGTGTCTCCAAATATATGCTGCTGGTCTTGCAGCTTTCAAAACCAGGATGCATAACCTTCTCTAACACTGCTCCTCATGTATGCAGTAGAGGAAGCAAATCTGTGGACTATTTTCCCTTCCCTGATCAGATCTGGAAGGGAACAGTGAGGTAGAAGTGTTTACAACACTAAACTGTTAAAGTGCTTGCTGGAGAGTGCTCCTGCCCCATTTCTACATGACTGGTTCTTCCCTTGTGTTGTACAGTGAAGGTAAAACAGAGTTTGTTATTTCATTGTATGACTCCAGACCCAGAGCTGCCATGGAATTTTCTCCCGTTGGAGTAACTTGCTCTCCCTCTGGTGGTTACATGGGATTAAAGCAGCTCAGACGGCGGCACTGGAAAGATCCCAGGGGAAAAAAACCCAGCAAAATCTCTAAGAAGACCAGAGAGCAGTGATTTGCCTTTTTTCACTCTCACACTTTTCCAAGAAGCAGTTCCTCTCAGTTCCCCTTCACTGTGTAAGTGTGGATTCTGCCCTGTCAAAATCCATGGGTTTTGGCTTCCATACTCACTTTTCTCTATCTGTTTTGTAGATCCGTGCAATCTCAGGCACTAAAGGATCATCTGGATTGGGATCACACAACAGAGAACAGATGGACAAAAGTACTAAGGAGAGAAAAGAGACACTGAATTAGTTCCAGGACAGCTGAGGACACCTGCACCAGTCAGCCCATGCACTTCCTTCCCCTCCAGCCAGCAGCATCAGCAGCATTTTTTAAGTTTGCCAGGAGCACCAATCCCATGTAATTCAGCTGAGCCATTTTGAACAAACTCCTTTTACCAGTGAACTACACAACTTTTCACAACCACAGTATCACAGTGAGTAACCTCCTGGATAGGTCTATCCAGCAGCAGCCTTAAACCACAAGGCAGAAGTGTTCTGCCTGAGAGTCCTCTAGGAAAACATCCTTGCTTTTGCACCTGAAATTCAGCAGTTCCCTGAAGTTCCCTAAAGCAGCCACTGTTGGATGACTTGGAGAAGCATTAATCAAAAGTCAAACAGCAGACAAGTCCAGCTGAAATGAAGGAAGCAAGAGCTGTTCACAGCTACTTAAGAATCACAGAATGGTTTGGGATGGGAGGGACCTTGAAGCTCATCTTGTTCAAACCCCTGCCATGGGCAGGGGCACATCCTACCAGCATAGGCTGCTCCAAGCCCCTTCCAACCTGGCCCTGAAGATCTGTTTAAAAATAAGCTGGTCTGCAGTGAATTGAAAGGCTTAATTTTTTTCCAAGAATAAGGAAAGCTGAGATGGATTTAGTGTAGAACAGCATCCAAAATGACCCAAGAACGCCCAGCTCCTTGCACTTGTATCTATCACAGAGCCCCAGAACTGGAGTGTTTCACTATAAATACAGAGTGGATGTATCCCAGACGGCACATCCTGCTCGGCAGAGCCCTCATCCATACAAGGAGCCAGGACACTGCTGCAAAGCCACAAATAGCACATGGACATTCCTACACTCACTGCACAGGAGCAGGGAAAAGGCAGGAAGTTATAAGCAAACATATTGGGACAACACTACACCAGGCATGGCAGGGACATCTTGCCCCACTCCCAAAAATGCCAAACATTCCCTTCTCTCCTCCTGCTTGGATCAAACAGTGCCACTCCATATGTCCCTTCACCAATTGCAGCAAAGCAGTTGTCACAGTGCAGCCTCCAAGCAAGGTGCAGATGACAAGAGTGAGGAGTTTGAAGACACTAAACACGAATCTGCTCCAATTCCCATCACTTGCAGGAGGCAGAGCTATCTCTGAAAAATGAAAGGAGACAGCATGCAGCTCATAAAAACAACAAAGGTGTTAAGATAGGTTAAAAGAGGGCCACAAAACAGATCACAGAATGGCTTGGAATGGAAGGCCCTTCAAAGTCCATCTCATTCCACCTCCCTGCCATGGGCAGGGACACCTTCCACTAGCCCAGGTTGCTCCAAGCCCTGTCCAACCTGGCCTTGGACATGTCCAGGGATGGGGCAGCCACAGCTGTTTTGAACAACTTGTGCCAGGGCCTCACCACACTCCAGAGAGAAGATGGAAACAGGTCTGATATTCAGTTTTTTTCAAGTGGGACAAGAGTGAAAGCTTCCTTTAGGTCTGAACTGCACAAGTTGCTCAGTGTTGTGAGCACCAAGAACCCACAAAGCCACTTAATTCAGTTTTCTCACTTGTTATTGTAGACTCTTCACTAAGGAATTATCAATTCCCAATTCAAAGCTTCTAAAACAAGTTTGGTAATAAACCAGTCTTGGTTTGGGTGAACATATTTCTGGTTCTAGAAAAAGGAGCAAACCTCTTCTCCCTTTTCCCAGTTTTCCACAGTGCACTTGTGAAAGTTAAGAGTTAAGCGTGAATGTTAATGATTCTCCACCATCAACTGACACAGGGCCCATTTACTGAGCTCCCTCTCAGCTCACAGTGTGCAGGAGGTCTGCAGAAGCCACTGCTGCTGCACTGGTGTCCCTCAGCAAGGCAGCACACTCAGCACCTGTGGCACAGATCCAGCACCAGCTCTTTTCCCCCTACAAATCAAGTAAAGCCCATGATAGTTTTCAATGGGAACACCTCTGCCACCGCACACTGTTCCCAGTCAGTGCAGTTTGAAAACAGCTGTTTCTCCAGCAATTTTCCTGTAGCTCATTTCTTTCTGTCAGACTCCACTGCTCTGGTCACTGAAGTTTCTTCAGCTGTAGGATGAGTAGCTCCAATGTGTCTCCTGCCCTCACCAGAGGACACAGGAAATCCAATCAAAAGTTTTCTAGTCAACTGTTGTAACTACTCCCTCAAGTTTTATCTTATCACAGTCCTTTAAAAGCCCAAGGAATTTTTGAACACAGTGGCTCAGCCTTCATCAGCAGAACCACACTGCAGGTCTGTGCACTGCTCTCTGCCCACCCTCACACCCCTTTTCCTAACACTCAGCAGTTCACTTTTCAGTATCACTCCAAAAACACTGAATAAAAATGGACACAATCATTTGGCCTCAAGCTGCACTGCCGCATTCAGCTGCTTTGATTTATTTTCCTAAGTCTTCATTATTCCAAATTATTCTCATTACACTAACTCTTGCTGGTGACTTCACATCAGTCCCCCTTTTATCTGTACAGCCACACTAAAAAAAGTATTTTTAACTCAACTGGTTTAATTTTAATATCCTGCTGAACCCAGTTATTTGTCCAAAATCAATTCTGCAAGTTTCTCCCAAGGCTTTCCACTACAACACTGCACATGCACGTTTTAGAAGCAACATACAGAAAAATCCCTTGGAAAAGGCACCACCTCAAAGTTTCAAGTGCAAGGGGAAAGGGAAAGCAACCCTTACAGATGTCAGCTGTGTATCAGAGTTCTTTGATGCATCAGATAATGAGTTAAACCAACACCATGGAATAAGAGACTCACCAGGCCACCTCCCTCTGCAATCAAGTTTTACTGCAATGAATTCCACAGCAAAGCCTGTGACTACAATGTAGCCAAATGACTACAACATTACTATCAGACAATGAAAAGAGAATTCCCCAAAACTTTTGGAACCACAGAATCAGGTTGAATAATTACACAAGGCAGGTAAGTGACACTTCACACCTGAACATCCTGCATGGCCATGGGCAAAGCATTATCAGCTTGGCAGAATCCCTTCAAGTCCCTCAGTGGCAGGGATGTACTTCAAGTGTGCACTCTTTGAATTCAAGTCTGCATTCTTCTCAGTAATAGCAAAATAAATCCTACTTGCCATTAACTCAAGGGATTCATCCCTTGAAATAACTCTGTACAGAATTATTTCTCATAACTCTTAGCTGTCAGAGCTGTCCAGCCACTAAGCAACTTAAACCACTGTCACTTTTAAACTCCTTTTCACATGAAAATTGGTTTTGCTTTGTTTTATTTCGCCAACCAGGCAGCCACTGACCTCCAACCCTTTAACTACACTCCCCATCTATCTCTGCAGACAACAGATAGAATTTACCCTTCTGTGTGCTTCCTGCTGCCATGGTCTAGCACAGACTCCTCAACACCAAGGAGCTGGGAGAACCAAACTCATCAAGCAGAAGGGCTGCTAACAAAGTGCTTCTAGAAAATGGGCTCAGCTTCTCCACAGAGCAATGACAGAAATGCACTGTCATCAGGCACTAAGATCACTGAACCCTTAAGACTGCTTGAGTAACATGCAAAATAAGTGTGTAACACTGCACAACTGAGATCCAGGTTCCCTCTCCAAGACTTTCCTTTAAAAAGTGTATAACACTGAAATTCGTGGGCGATCTTTCTCCATGCAGCTCCTCTGTGCAGAAAATCATGTCACTGACAGGTTGTCAACAAGACCAGCTCCAGTTCCCCACTACAGAGCCCACCTCAGCAGCTCCCCTGCTGTACTCTCACCACCAAGGTCAGCCCACCACCCCTGATGGGCAACTGCACCTTCCTGGTTCTGCCCCACCTCACACTGAGCAGATGTGGATGCAAATTCCAAAGGTAAATTTCATGGCTGGGTTTCCTCTGCTATGAAGCAGCTCAGCCATTAGTCAGGACAATCCATGGTGTCAGCTCTTCACAGGTCCTTCCAACCCCAGCCAAATGAGCAGTGCAGAACACAGTTTAAAGTCCATCTGCTACTGGAACATCCAAATTTAGGTGTGTTAAAGATCCTGGAACTCAAGAGGTGAAAACACTCTTAAAAGCAGCTGATCCTAATCTTCCAAAACACAAATCCCAAATCACTCACTTTGTCTGCACATGCTGACTGGTCTAACACCCACCACTCCAGCCACCCCCTTGACACAGAGCACCAACCACTACAGATCCTGCTGCTTAAGTCTAGCTGGAATTCCAAACAAACTTGCTCCACTAAAGCACTCATCCATGGGGCACTTCAGAGTAAGGAAAAGTAGCTGAGCAGCCATGGAATCTCCAGCTGAATTCAGAGAAGGGAGATAAATGGCACTTATATTTCCAAAGTAATGAGCTCCCCAGAAGAAACAGCTGGTGTGTTCTGATCCAGCTGCTGTTTGGTGCAGTTACTGCCCTCCAAAAGGAGCCAATTTAGAATCCATCTAGGAGTAAAGGTCCATCTCTAAGCAGGCACAGAGACTGCACCAACAAAGTGTTTGTTACAGTACCAAGAAGGTGCTGAGATGGTTGCTCTGCATGCCAGGCTGTCAGGACAGCAGGATGACACTCAGCTCTCCACCCTGGCTGGAGTCACACCGGAGGTCAGGACCACCTGATCATGGAAAAGCTCAGGCAGTGACACAGAGCAGGTGGATAAAACAGAGAAGCATCAATCCCTGGCCATCATGAGTTCACAGCAAAGGCAGCAGCCCACCCCACCTGCTCTGTCCTGGGTGAATGACAAACACTGTGCCAGGACTTTCCAAGGAAAGTGATTTGTCACCTCCTGGAGCCCAGGCCATGGCTCTGGCAGACAGTGCTGGGCTTCTGGCACAGCCCAGTTTCTGAGTGCAAAAGTAACAATTTGTCAGCTAAGGTTTGACTGAGCCTGGTATGCTGGAAGACACCTCTGCCAGCTGAAATGGGAGTTTTGGACATGCCACGCTGCTGAGGGATTCTTAATTCCATTCTGAAGGGTTTATCCAGCTGTCCTGCTTCTCTCACCAGCAAGGGCTCATTTGTTCATCATCAGCCTGGCAGCCTCCACGTCAAGGTTCACTGCTACTTCCATCTCTGCTCCTTACTAGAGTCAGGTTTTTTCCTGATTTTGGGGAATATTCTCCTACATAATCACTGTTTTTGAGTTTCAGGCCCCAAACCCTTGAAACTTGAGACGTGTAGTTGTCAAAGCTTTATCTGTACTGACAGATGCTAAGCTTGCAGCATTCAACACTGGAAACACCACTGCCCAACAGGTTCAAATGCCTGGCTCCTGACTGTGAACAGGCAAGATGCATCCAAATAAATGAAAGGAACTCTGGCCTCTGTTCGAGTTAAATCCTATTTCTTAACCACAACCCCATTTCCAACTCCTCCAGCCATCTTCCCCAGCCTTACAGGAAGTGTACCTTTAAATCTGAGCAGTTTAAACTTCTGGCTTCAAAGCAACTTGCATTCCTGCTAAGTCAGTTCAACAATTTCTGGTGACAAAAGAAGAAAAGTTAAGTATTGCCCAGTGTATCCCAGACTGGTTGAGGTTGGAGAGACCTCTGGAGATCATCTTGTCTCAAGCAGAGCCACCTAAGACAGGCTGTCCATGACAATGTCCAGGGGCTATGCAGTATCTCTGAGGTAGGACAGCCCACAGCCTCCCAAGGCAACCTGTGCTGGTGCTCAGCATCCTCACTGTAAAAGTACAACATCAAGTGTTTCCTGCTGCTCAGAGAGCCTCCTGTGCTTCAGCTTGCCCCCCACTGCCTCTTGTCCTGTCACTGGGCACCACTGAGAACAGTCTGGCTGTGTCATCTCCACCTCCTTCAAGTATTTACAGACACTGCTAAGATCTCCTGAGCCTCCTCTTCTCCAGAATGAACAGTCCCAGCTCTCAGCCTGTCCTCGTAAGGGGAGATGCTCCAGTCCCTCTATGGTATTCTGGCCCTTCCCTGGGCTCTCTCCAGTACATCCACACTTTCCTTGGCTGGGGAGCCCACCCTGGGCAATGCTCCAGGTGGGCTTCATCAGCACCCAACAGAGCGAAAGGATCACAGCCCTGCTGGCACCACTCCTCCTAGCACAGCTTTCTCTGGAGCAAGGACAGCTCCTGGGAAGCTGCACAAGTGGCTCAGTTACAGTTGTGAGAGTTTAAACAGAAAAGTGGGCACTTCCCTCGGAATCCCAGCTCAGCACAAGTGGAGACACTGACCCATGCTGTGACAAAGCCACGCCCAGTTATGTGGGTAAAGCTGCAGTGGGCAAACTAAAAGCCAAGATGATCAGAACCCAACTTCCTGATTTTGAAAATGGCACTGTGAATGTCCAATTCAATATCTCAGTACTATTACTTCCAGCAAGTCTTAGTGAAGTGATTCATGAAGAGAAACATCACAGAAAATCCTCACTGCACCAGGCATGGAAGTCTGGACAGAGGGAGCTGAAGTCTTGCATGAATGAGGCAGAGGTTACTCACTGTCCCTCCCAGGCAGGGCCCTCCAGCACACTCACACAGGCTCCGTGATTTATTCCTTACAAAACACAGGGAGAAGTGGGACAAGACAGCAGATTAGTCCAACCTTTACTGTCCAAGTGCTTTAGTTCAGAATTAACTCTTGCACAGCCACTTGCCAAATTCAAGAGAAAGAGTGTTTTTTCCAAAATGGCTGAGAACAGCTGTAATAATGTTAAAACACTTCATATTCTCCTGTTTCAGGCAACAGGGTTCTTATTTATGCAGACTTGGAGATAATGTTTTTAATTTAAGCCTACGCATTCTGCTTAAGCCTTGGAGTTCAAATTACCCACCACGGTGTGGTTAGGACTGTATTTTGAGGTTATTTATTCTCCAGTATGTATTCTTGAGGGAACACTGAGTTCAGAATTACTAATATAAGCAAGTCAGCTGTTGTACTGAGACAGTCTCTGCTGTTCTCCCAAGTTTTAACAATTGTAGGAGGGACAGAACAAAACCCCAAAATGCCAATCACCTCTATCATAACCACAATCTTTATTAAATTGCTTACAGAGGGCTGGCTCCAGAGTGTGAGGAGCCAAGACCCCTACCTTTACCACTGAACTGGAATGACTAAGTAGCACTGATACGATTTTTCAGTCTTTCCACCAGGAAGTGGCACTTTTAACCCACAGGAAGTCAGTGCACACCCCTTCCCCTCTCTCCTTGCAGGTTAAGGTGAAAAGCATCATGTACCACACATTAACTGTGAGCCTAACAGTGAGCTGCTGATAGTGCTGCCTCCCAGCTGCCTCAGGAGGAAGCTGTGCATGATAAGCTCTTTCCTACAAGGACTGGTTCTACTCTTCCCAGATTTCTCAATCAGTAGGAAGTACATTTTTTCATAGCTGTGCTCTAAGTTATCTGCTTACAGAGTTTAAATTCAAACAGCCTGCTCCCAGGAGCATCCAATTTAAAGGGTGGCACAATTTAGGAAATACTCTCAGAAATCTACACTACAAATAATAAATTGATGCTTTGGAAGAGGTATGAGCTTATTGCTGAATGTTTTAAGTCTTATTAGTTACCCCAAATTACCTAATCCAACAATTTTTCCTGCTAGCAACACATTCCTTCTTTGATAAGGCTGATCAGTTACTAGGAAGCTGAAACATCCCTGAAGTCTGTCACAACACACTCTAATCTGACTGAATATAAGATTTCAACCCCAAAAGATCCAAGTTGCCTTTGTGGACTTTATTTCCATTTGTTCAAGATGGGAACACTTCCCCTAAGTACCAGCTCTCTGCTTCTGAAGTCTGCCTTTTGACAGGGCATCCCTGTGATTCTGAGGGAAGTATTCCTATAAAGTCACTCACCCCTAGGAATCTGCTTTGTTGTTTTAATTCCTTCAGTAAATGTAGCCCCAGGGAGGTGGGACAAGGTTTTCTCCCAGGCTAGAGCAGTGTGGCTGTTGTGCTGTGTGCAGCAGAGTGTGAGCATTCAGCTGAACTGTTCAGCAGTGAGAAGTGATCAGCACCACAGAGCCCCCTAAACCCAGCAGGGAGAAGGGCACTGGAAGGGGCAGGTGGCACAGAACAGCCACCCTGATCCCATGGCTTATTCCAGCTGAGTCACAAGGGTATAGTTTGAGAAGGGTAAGAAAAAAAGAGTTCAAAGCAGAACACAAAGGGAGATTGAGATGTTAAAGCATATTGCAAATGTATTTGGGCAGTAAAATTAACACTAGGATGTATTTTCTGAGTGATTAAAGCTGACAGCCTGGAGCAGCCTCTTAAATTCTTGCCCCATCTTCTCCCAATTGTCCTAATTCCAGTCCATCTCCCAGTATTTTCAATCATGCTGTCTATCACCCCACCACCCATCTGGTCACTTCAGACTCCCTAAAACAATACAGCATTTTCTCCAGTTAAGCAGCAATTAAATCAAACCAGACCAGACATCAGTGCTTGGGGCTAATTTGGTGTTTCTAAGAGCAGCCAGTACTGACTGAGAGCACTTGTAAGGAAACTGCAGCAACCTGACAATCAATTATTTTTTTCTTCACTGACACCATTTTTTCAGTTCTTTCAAGACTTTGAGCCTTGTGCCCAAGCAGATTCACTTCTGACAAGAGACAAGGAGATACTGGTTTGCCTTTCCATCTGCTTCTGCAAATGCTGGACAGAGAAGGTGGAAACTTCTGTGGGTTCAGGGAAAGGCAGACAGTGATGATGTCCAAGGGATGCACCAGGATCACCTGTCTGAACCAGAAAGTGCCTGGGAACATCACATGTAGGAGAAGGACAGGAACAGGAGAGCCTCAGAGCAGGGACACTGTGAAGGACAATGTAATCAATGTGACAACTGCAGCATTTGATTACAAGGACAGTGTGAAGCTACAGAACAGAAGGGTCAAGAAATGATCATGCACAGGGTAGACTCCAAATATTCCTAAATTGCCGTGCCTAGACCTACAAACTTGATCCACAGTTTGCAAATCTATAGTTTCAATAGCCAAAAAAAAAAAAAAAATCCAGCCTGTGTCTTCTTTCAAGATAACTAAAGCCTCCTATTTATATTAAATATGAGTACTGCTTTACCAGGCAAAGGCTAAATTCCAGAGCTCCACAAGCTAACACAGCTCACAGGGACCAAGATACTATTAGCTAACTATTTTAAGATTGTTCAAGCTAGGCAAGTTTTAAACTATGTTTCAGGAGTTCACACCATTGGAAGTTCTGTTAAAAAATTACCAACATGGAGCTCTAGTGCTCCCTTGAAAGAGAAATTATTTTTGATATGACAAAGAATTAGCAACTTCACCATTTTTTAAAAGCCACAGCTGCTTCCTTACATATTTTACTCTGGGCATATCTTGAACATTAAAGTCTTCCACTGTCCCATACTAGGTTTTATTTTTTATAGATTTGTATCTATTTTTAGTTGAAGTGTTCTGAGGTGAGGTGGCAGGAGTTTGTACTCAGTGTAGTAAGACTTATCTGATTCACTGGCAAAGCTGAGGAGTCTCCCCATGGCCACAGGGAAGCTGGATGTCCTGAGCATCCCCTGCTCAGGAATTGGCTGCAAGCTCCATGTAGAGTCACAGGACAGAAGCAGTGACCACAGAAATGGTGGATTCCAGCAGGAATGCAGCAGTTTTTACATCCCAAATCAGTACTTCATTTTAGCAGAGCAAAATGAAATAAGCATTGGAGGTACCTTTTGAAATAGTTAGTGCTGGGGACCACTGTGATCGTAGAATATCAAGACAAATGCTGCCATTACTGTTAATATTTGGATGATAGATTCTTGTTGTAAATGCAACCTGCAGAAGAAGGAAAATTTCAGTGTAGGCTCACAAATATACATCACACCACATGGTAACAGACAGATTTATGGCAGAAGCCACTCACCTTAGGTGGTTTGAAGGGATAATCTGTCGGGAAGTGAATTGTCAAGAAAAATACTCCACCTTGATAGGGACTGTCGTTCTGTTAATGAAAAAGAATCGTTGCACCTTGAGGAGATACTACCAGACCACCAGTCAAAAAAGCCATGAACATCAATTCTCTCATACTTACTGGTCCCATTATTGTAGCTTGCCAATGGAACACTGAAAAAGAGAGAGATTTACTTCAGTTTGGAGAAGCTCAAGTAATGATCTACTTTCTTCCAGACAAAACAGCACAAGAAAGAAAAGTCTATTTTAAAAACAAAGCCTTGTGAAAGGCCACAGGGAAGCAAGCCAAGGAATTAAAGAGAGACAGAGCAAAGCACTCAATACTCTGCAGTCCTCACTCCAGGACTGCTGTGTACCACATACACGTCCTGCAAAAAATCCCATTACAATAAAAACCCACATAGTTCTAGGCAACTTTTCAGGCTCAAAATTGTGAGTTTAAACTTTGTAATTTCTAATGAATCAGCACCCATGACTGCCCCTTCGAGCCAGCTACAGCAAAGCTCCAGCATGAACTCACAGCTGCTCTCCTGCTCACACCTGTGACACACGGAAGGGAAGCCCAGGCTCTGTGTGAACCAAACCAGTGGTGTCCTTACAACATTCAAGCATCATCTACACAGAGGCCTCAAGATTTCACTAAAGCAGCAGAAAGAACTGTCCTAGGAAAATGCAGGAATGATAGTCTGCCCCATATTTGGAGCAGGATGTGCCAGGACACACTTCAGGTTAAATGGACAGAAGTTAATCCTCACTTGTATGCATCTGCCCAAGAGAACTTTCACCTGGTAACACAAGAGGATTTGTGAAGAATGTTGCTGTGCTGGAAAAGAAAATAGTCAAAGCTGATAGTCTGTAGGAGGCACACTGGGGAGCTCTCAGGGTTCCTCTGTCTCCACAGGCTTCAGTGCCTGTGCAAAGAGCAGCCTAGGAAATTATTTGTGAATTAAGACTATGGAAGCTTCCCTCAACATGGATGTCACCTACACAGCACCTTCAGAACTGGGGAGGTGTAGATGATGGCAGCTGTTTCAAGGGAACTCTTCAAGACAGGAGATGAAGCCACGTGGAAGTGTCTGTGCCTGACTGGCACCTGGTGCCCACAGCTGTCAGGACTACCTGGGCCAAAAGCAGGAGTGGCACTACCTGTTCTCATCTAGCACAAGCAGTTTTTAATTACACATGGTACAGGCACTACAGCTCAGAATGATCTCATACAAGGAAGGAGGAAAAAAGCAGAGTGGGAGTAGCTCTGCAAGGCTAGGGGAGAAGAGTGTTGGGTTGGAACAGGTTTGTTTTAATCTACTCCTACATTTCTACAGGAATGTGTAACTTTCTGTACACTTCAGCACTGCAGAGTAGCTCAGAAATGATTCAGAAAGATCTTAGTAACTCATTTTTTTCCTTTTAAAAAGAATACCTGAGCTTAGAGTTCTCATCTGTAACAGAGAGAGAGGATTTCACTACTTAAATATTCACTCTCTCAGGAGCCTGGCTTTGAGAAACTCTACATCCAGTGAAGGATTAGGAAACCAAGACAGCAGCTCACATGTAGCATTCACCCATCTTCAGGGGGTTCAGACAGTTTCCCAGGAGCTCCCTGTCACCTGCAGCAGGACAGGGAGAAACATGGAGGAGAGGACAAAGGAACAGCAGAAATCCCACAGGAGATTGCAGCCAACCCCAACAAAACCAGTAAAAATCTCACAGATCTTGATGAGATTCACTGTGGTTGCTCTGCAGAGTCACCACTGAAAAGAGAACCTCAAATAACCAATGACTTCCTTAAACCCAACAAAACCCAGAAATAAAAACATATCCACAGGCAATCTCAACTTGTTCAAAGCTAGAAGGGAGGTTTGTGTTTCCTCCCACTCAATGCCTACCCCAGACTTGGATGCTTGTTTAACCTAACCGTTAAATCCTGGTAACATCCAGGACAAGTCTGGTGAATGCAAAGATGGATTTGTCATGCAGAGCTTATTCCAGTTGATTCTTTCCTTTGCAATCAGCCAAACAGAGGTATTTACAAAGGCAGGGGGCTGTTGGCTTTCAATAGGTAAGCACAGGTACATGTTTGGAAAAGGCTAAGCCACTGGAAGCATACCAACATCATCCAGTCCCCAGCACACTTCCAAAACGCAGGCCAGAGGTGGGTGGAAGAAAGCTAAAAACACACTGCCAGGAAAATCCCATTCCTACAGCTCACAAGGCAGGAAAAGCCCTTTACTTTCTGAGGTTCATGAACCCCTGAGATGAGAAGCTTATAGCTGGGACAGTTTGTATCAGCTGGAAAAGGCACAGGACAGCACTTTGCAAGCACAGCACGTCCTGAACTCTGGGAAACGTCGCTCTGACAAGGCAGCTGCAGCAGACCTGGAGCACAGGGACCTGGGAGAAGGCACCTTTCTGTTGCTGCCACTGCTATCCACTTACACACATCCAAATTGTGGCTCTCAAGAACAAAAGTCTTTCATTAGAGGTCTTTCAGAAGGGTGGCACCAGGAGAACTGAATAGTACTTTAAAGCTTTCTGTATCAGTAGTAACTTTCCATTCTCAGCCTTCACCAACTTCTGTTACCACCTCCTCTGCCAGACAATCGTCATCACCTTTGATAAGGCTTTGGAAAACACAAAGTAGTTTATCATGGCACAAATCACACTTACTAATTTAAGGGAATAAAAACCTCTGTCAGGCTCTCCATCTTAGTCTTGTCTATGAAACTACAAACCTCTTTGAAATACTGTTTGGAAAGCAGAACTAGGTTGTCAAGTAACTACTGCTAAACACCCTCAAAACCAAGCTGGGCTTCCACTCATTTGAAAGAGCTGCTGAACAGGAACATTCCCACTAATTTCAGTATTTTCACCCTCAGGTTTCAAGTGCTTTTTTTTTTATGTAGCCCTACATTTCTACAGGAATGTGTAACTTTCTGTACACTTCAGCACTGCAGAGTAGCTCAGAAATGATTCAGAAAGATCTTGGCAGCATTTTTTCATTTTAGAAAGGATACCTGAGCTTAGAGCTCTCAGAGAAGGCGGGTTTCCCTGCTTCCCTCTCCCCTCTCTCAAGAGCATGGATGCTTTGCTGACATCACTTGTCAGACCACACTGCACAGCAAATTCAGTGTGTGCTGTTTAGGGGGCATTGCAGCCACAGCTGCCAAGGGCTCTCAAGGAACCTTTTCCACTGTCAGAGCTGCTACAGGAAAGAATGTGAGCACAGAACAGCAGTAACTCCCAGTCACTCCCCAGGTGAACAGACTTGAACAGGAAGGCCAAGAAGATTGTCTGAGGCTGTCCCTTACACAGGAGCTGGCAGGGCATGCTGATTTGAGCAGTTTTCAGACACCATGTATAGTTTAGATATCTGAGTTCAGAAGGCTGTGGGCAGCTGCTTGCTGGTTTGACCACAGATCTACTGAGGCTTTCTAACACCATCCCCCAGGAGAATTCCAGAACAGTTAATTTAAAAGGCATAATTTAAGATGTGCATTGAGTTGCCCAATCAATAGAGTGGGAATAACACCACTGGCACACAAGGAAGGTGTAAGAGATACAGAAGAGCAGCAAATTTAAGATCAGGAGGTGGTGTATTATCTAGTACTCTAAAAGAAACAGAAGGATTCTCCTTGCTGAGGAACTGGACATCCTTTCAGAAGGAAAAGGAAAAACATGGGAGAGGGCAGGTGCTTGATGAGAGCAGATACTTACTGTCATCCCCGACAGGCCCTGCTGAACACTGTGCTGGAGGATCACGTGCCAGGTCGTTCAACTCCTGAAAAACAGGAAGAGTTTGTTTCACTTGATTTCAAAAACAACCATGCCATTGCTCAAAGGCTGCTAGGGGCACTCTGGCAGCACCACAGAACTAATAACCAGGACTCTGGAAAGTAAAGTTGCATCTTAAACCCAGGAGACACATCTGGCACAGGCCTCAGGGACCTGTCCAGGCTGCAGAGCCTCGAGTCACAGCAACCCTCATGTCACAGGGGTCGCCATGTCTGCCTGCACTGGTCCCAAGCATTACCAAGGTACTGCATCTCCTACCAGCCCCGGGTCACAGAGAGATAAGATGGCCTCAATCCAACAACTCTCAGTATCAGCCCTATTTTATTCCCTCAATTGTAACAGTTCCAGTGGTGCTCCAGCTACAGTGATCCAGTTTATCACCTCCACAGCCAGCCTGCAGCACACACAGCTCCCATAACCTGGGGCTGTTTCACCTCCACACATATACATCAGTGACCATGGGTGGAATGGAATAAAACACAAGGCCTTCCATACCCACACACCTCACTGAAATCCCCCACTTTTCAGTGGCTGTGTCAGTCAAATTGTCCTCTGAAGAAATCCTATAATGAGTCTGAACAGGGTGAGCAACTCACAGTACAGCTGAACTATACTATTTTGCTTAAATTTAAAGCAAAATTTCAGCACAGTTCAGAGAGTTACTCTTACCAGTAATTCACATCAGCCATTTGCTCAGGAAGTGGATGTTTGGTGGAAAGTGCAAACAGAGTAAAACTATGAAGTCAAACTTTACCTGCTCCATTTCTGGCTCAGTCACTGACCTGCTCTGCATGATAGGCCTGAACATATCACCATTTTTGTCTGTGAACTCAGTCTAGAAAGCTGAACACACACCAGATAAGGATTACAACTATTATCTAGTACACAGGAAACACTCCCATGCTGTCCCTGGTCCATTGTGTGTTCAGCTTTTCACCTCCCAGAACAGTCCAAACTGGAGTCTCCATACCAGGCTTTTGGCAGACAAAACAAGTAAGTACAATGATTAAGACAAGCTGATTGCAGGAATGGAAGAAAATTTGCCATTTAATGGCCTTTTGTTATTTACAGGCAGTGATTAAGCTTTTGAACAGATGATCTCTGGGAGTTCCAGCTTCTACTTCCCAGGAACTGGGAGGCCACCACTAACCAAATCCAAAGACACAAATGCTGCCTCACATCAAACACGTACATCTCTGGATTTCCCCCTCCAGATGCAGTGCCCCAGAAAACCTCACAGGCCCTGACACACACACACACATTTGGGTTTTGCCCTGAGCAGCTTCCAGCTTCTAGAGAGCCCTGCTGGAAGCCTCTTTGCCTTGACACCAGACTATGGAAGCTTTCCTAGTGCTCCTGCTGGGCTTTTTCCACTTGGTGTTCAGCATGGACATGGACAGGAACAGACACTGAGCACGCAGCACCTGCTGAAGAGCCTTCTCCCCCCTGGAGGGGAAGAGAGCATCTCTAAGTATCCTCCAAAGACACAAAGCCCCTTGGAGTTGCTTCAGCACCCTGAACCACCAAGGCAGCACAGGAACGTGCAGAAACCTACACACACCTTCCTCAGGGGCAGTCTAGTCATGTCCACAAAGAATGAACTGAGTCTACACACAACAGGCATGAAAAGTTTAAAAATAGCAATGTATCTACTCTTTCTAAAGGTGTATGGAGTACAGACCACTGCCAAACAATATTGGACTCTTGAATTTCTGGAAAAAAATATTTAATACTATTGTATTCAAAGCCCCAAACACACAACTAAAAAAAATACTCTTTACCACTTCTCATCCCATTCTATGCATCACATGACCCAGAAGGTACAACTGGAAGAATGCATGTTTTCCATGCATGACCACAACCTACCATGGATGATATTTATGAACACACAACATGCACCTTGCCTGCTATAAAAAGGAAAGAGTTACAAACATGAGCTTGGGCACACATTTTACCAGTTAGTAAAATACACAGCTCCAGAGCTGCCCTGACACTCCCCCTACATCCTGCTGCCCAAATGCTCCAACCACTTCAAACTGCAAATAACAGAGGGACCACAAGGTAAGTCCCCAAGAGCCACAGAGGCAGCAGTGAAGTTCAGGTAGTAGCAATTTCTCATCAAAATACTATTTCTTTCTACACATATTCAGTTTCAGGGAGATTTCTGAGTTTTCTGAAGCCCTGGGTATTACCTCCGTAGAAAGTGATTACTTACAACAACCACTTGTACCACTTGTCTCAGTGACAAGGTGGCGGCATTTCAGGTTTTGTTCCATAAATTCACAGAGTGAAACATCACAGATTAAAAGGTTTATGTAAAAAACACTGTGTAAGTTCCTCATGCTTAAAAAAGTATTGCGCCAACTCTCAATTCAAGCCCCTGCAGCACAAAACTTTCCAAATTTTGTAGAACAGCTTGGAGAACAAGTTCAGCTCTTCCCCTTCACCCCTCAAGACTCCTCTGGAGTGCAAGCACCAGCTGCTTCTGCCTACAGGAGAGGCAAACACACCCCTGGATTTCCTGACAGAGCACAGATAAGCCCTTCAACATGCTGTGCCATTCCCTTCCAGCTGCTCTAAGACTCTCTCTACACCTGCAGAGCCAAGTTCAGGAGCAGGAAAGGAGCAGCTCATGACTGGCAGCACAGAGAGGAGCACCCACAGCTGCTGCACAGAGCCAGGCACCTGTCCCAGAGGCTGCTCTGCCTTTTGCAGGCTCCTGTGCAGCTCCTGAGCTATCATGAGCATGACACCAGACCCACTCAGGTCTTGGCTTCCAGCTGTTGCTGAGGAATGCTGAGAACCAGCTGGTTTCTGTAAGTGAGAACAAATGACTCTGGAGTTCCCATAAAGCTGGAACTCATAAGACATGGAGGATTCAGTTACAGTTTGGTATCATCTACAACCTGAATGTACTGGATCCCCAGTTGCAAAGCCCAGTTTTTCCCCGTGATCCAGGAAGTCTTGCTGGTCCATGATCAAGACTGACCTCGACCACACTGATATTAAGCCAAAATCTGAAGAAAGCCATAGCAGTTTCCACTCCAGACAGTTTTTGATCCTTAAGCACATGCAGATTTTGCTTCAGGAATTTACAAGCAGCCTTTAGATCAAGTTCCAGTTTGAGTTACTCAGCTCCCAGGGCTGCCTCATCCTGAGTTGGCTTTCCAGCTGAAGGCATCTTACAGAATTTAAAGTTTCTGCCATCTCCCTTAAGCAAAATATCCCTGGGGCTCGGCCCACTGCTGTGGATCCTACCATTAACCTAACCCACCTCACAACTCTTAATGAATCCCTTAGCAAAAATGAGGAAGTGGAAGCACACCACAAAGCAAGGTTCAAGGTGTCCTGCCTAAAGGCCAAGTTGGAAAAAACTACTACCACTACATCCACACAGAAGATACCCTAAAAGCAACAAAAATCTCACAAGAACCTGACATTTAGGCACCAAAACCCAATTTAACCATGCTCTTAAGTTCCCAACAAAGCAATCCCTACTCAGGGGTTCCAGGAAAGCATTTTAAGGAAGATGGAAGGTGCTTATACCACAGATGCCCCAACTGTGCTTCCCAAGTCATGACAGGCATCAGCTGCCAGCGAGGCCTCGAGGCTCACAGGTAAACCAGTGCCACCAACCTTGCTCAGCCTCACAGCACCCTCATCCCTACCCTCCTGTTCTACTTCCAGGAGCTGGTACAGTGCCTTTAAAATATACCTCAATGCAGGCATCCACAAACTGCACAAGAAGCTCTCAAAAAAATCAAACACAAATGGTTTAAGTCTTATAAGTTTAACCCTGCACACGTTTTATGTTTTAATTATCAACTCCAAAGACATTTGTTAGTGAAGTTCCAATTCACTCCTCTAGACAACAAATCCCTCCCCAGCCCAACACACTCCTGGTAAAACCTGCTCTGGCCAAAAGATAAGAGGAGTTTGAAGGATTAAGTTAATGCTAATACAGCCTTCAGTAAGAATAACCAACATAACTGGCAACATCAAGAAGCCAATCAGGCAAGTAAAAAGCCAGCACACTTTTTTTTTTTCTTTTTTTTTTACAAGCCAGCTCCAGCAATTTTACTAAGCCTTGGTATACAGCAGAGCTCCTCAAATCCACTCCAACACACTATATGTATTCGTCTGGATTATCCAAAGTCTTCTTAGCTTGAACTCCATGGGCTTTCCACTCTGCTCCAGTCTGAGCTGCTTTCACATTGTACTTTACTAAGAGACCACATTAGCTTGATTATAAACCTAATTTCTGCCTCAGGTTGCTGCTGTAAGTGAAATAAGCTTTTCATTTGCCTTCAGCATGTTTATTTGCCTGAAGCCCCTGAACCCTTCAGCAACAGGCAGTGTAGGGAGATGTTACAAAATCCTGACTTATGTAACCAAAAAGGAACTCGTAGCCACTTTAGCCATTAATTGTTCCCAGCTCCCAACAGAGTAAAGCCAAGCAATGGGGATTGAGGGCCAAAGTCGAACTGATCACACCCTGCCTCACCTCAAGACCACGGCACAGAGGAGCTGCCAGCTCCCTGTGCAGAGCCAGCAGGGCATGAGGGTGGGAAGAGCCTGTGCCCCTTCCCTGGGCCAGCAGCATCTCCCTGCCAGGTGCCAGAGCTGTATCCAGAGGCATTTCCCACTCTCCATCTGCCCAGCAGCACTGGGCAGGAGGCAGTGTCACACACGTGCACCAAGGTCAGACCAGCAATTCCTTACAGTGTCCATAGGTGCTCTCCCACCCACAGGACTGCCATTCCAGAGTATCTGCCACTACAATCAACAGAAGCATTTTAATCCTTTCAACAAAAACTGCTTTTGCAATGCTTGAAGCTGCTCAGATTCCCCAACTCTGACTCCTCACAAGACTCTGCAAATGTCAGAAGGCAAGTGAGCAGCATGAGAAGCCATGAAACACAGCTACAGCCAAAGTACATGTTATAAACAAGCTCTGATGTAACTGTCACCTTTCATTTTTATTTTTTTTTTCCAAAGCCTGAACAGGAAGAAGACCAAAGCAATGTGTAACTTCCTCCTGGTGTAGAATCTGAGTATCAAAACACCTCTCTAGCTAACAGAAGCTGCAGCAGCATTCTCTGTACACAAGCTCTCCAACACAGATGGGCTGCTCTGGCAGCTCCACGCACGCAGCGAGAGGCCCAGCGGAAGAACCCAGTTGCTCCCACTGGCTGCTGTACAGAACTGGCAGCACAGAAATAACACCAGGTCTGCTCAGCACAGGTAGCACAAAGACAACTCTGACCACCAAGGCTGGTCTGCACCGTTGTCCTCACACATCCCACCCACAGGCACTGCTCCTTTGGGCAGAAATGATGCCTAAGCATTTCTGGACTGCAGGACTACATCAAGTACTACCCCCCCCTTCCACAGCTACACAGCAACAGCACTGTGGAATTCAGTTTAGCTACCTGGTTTTTGAGCCTATGCATTATAAGCAGTAGTAATCCCCGATTCCTCTGCTACAGAAAGTGTTTTACTTGAGCAGGGCTGGAGCACAGCTGCTGCTTTCCCTTCCCCCTCACCCCTGATCACACAGGGGAGCCCGTGCAAGACAATGAGCTAACCTTTTCCTTGCTTTCCCATTCAAAGAACTCCAAACGGTGCCCTAGTTATCCACTTAGAGGTATTGCATTCCCTAAAGATAACCAACACAGATGTGGCTGAATTCAAAGGGTTTTGGCTTAAACCTTAAAATGGAAGGCCCTCCTGTACATTTCTCCCATCCTGCCCTTAGACTGCTTCACACTGCTTTTCTTATGAAATACATCTAGAATAAAATAGACCATTTTTACATAGATATAAAAACACCAATTCAATTACTATACTTCAGTGTTACTGACTGGAAGGACTCTGCCTGGCAGTATTGCTTACACCCCAAACACTTCTCATAAGAAAATATTTCAAGTTTCAGACCCATGATCCAATAAAAGCACCTAAACAAGAATTTGGAGCCACACTGCCCAAAATACTGTGGTGAGTAACACAGGCAGCAATCTGAGAGCAGGTCTCACCCAGCCTGAGCTCTTTTGGAGCATCTGCTCAGAGAACAGCTGCTGCTGTGTGCACACATGTTACCCCAGCTCGAGCCTCTGCACAATCCCAAGAGCAACTGTGCCACCAGTGACAGGCTGGGACAGACCCTGCAGGTCCCTGTGCTGCCTCACACACCAGCAACAACACGGCTTGTTCTGCCCCTCTCCCAGCCCAGCAGAGTTCAACATACAAGAGGCCATTTCAGGTAACACTGTATCAAACCTTCACTCTTGGGATTTTCGCCTTTCCACGTTCTCAGCCCTGTGTTATCCAAGGATGCAAAAATTTTGACAAAAACCTAATAGAAAGCCTTTGTGGTTCAGTAAAAACCCCAACTGCCAAGAGCAAGAGTCAGTGGCCAGACTGAGCCGTGCACACTGATAACACCCTTAAAAAAAAGCCAAAGCAGCAGATTTCTCTGCATCTCTGTGCTCGAGTCCACTGGGATTATTCCCATTCAATCCACATTCTCCAGGCTCCTGCTCCTGCCACAAGCTGCAGCAGCAAAGGTCAGAAACTGGCTGTCCCCTCGCTATCCTGACAGGGACGGCCACTGCACACTCCCAGAGACCACAACAACCCCGAATGATGATAGGAGCGCTCTCCAGGGGGTTTAAAATAGCCCGAGCGTAAACAGCCAGCCATGATTACTGAAGCAGCTACACTGAGACACCCACAGCAGCTCTGAGCGCTCCTTCCAGCCTGTAGCTTCAACGCCCATCCAACTTCCAAAGCATCTGGGCTGCTACAACAGGCAGATTTATTCCCCTCCCCATTTGCTGGTTTGTGGAAATGCTGCCTCCAGCCCCATCATCTCCCTCTCCTCCACAGCCACCACACTCACTCCACTGAAACTCTTTGCAGAGCTCACACAAAACTGCTTTGGTGATGCTCTTGCTACTTCCCAAGGCTTTGAAGGCTCTCATAGCCCTTCAGAGTCCCCATTATCTCTCAGGGCTCTTTATTCTTGAAAAGCAGCACGAAGAGTCAGTCCACAAGCACCCAACGTTAACAAAGACTCCACACATCCAGCTTTTCTCCTGTCACAACCAGCCTGGAAATGCAAGTGCCCTCAGAGTGTTGACTCCTGACCCTCAGCATGCACTGAACTAAAACCAAGCAGCTTTCCTGAGTTACCTCACACAAGATTCACCCTCCCCACGATAGCCCTGCACTGCCTATGCGTGCCCAGCCCCCCACAGCCACATTTACCCTCTTCAGCATCCACTGCTGTGTCTCCCAGGCCGATGAACCCACTGCTGAGGAGTAAGAGCTCTGCCAAAGCACCTGTGAGCCCACAAACACTGTGGAAGAGTCCTCACAATATGGTCCTGAGTCCTCACAGTAGCCCTAAGGACCACTAAAGTAAGGGTCAGAACACTTGCAGAGAAGCAAGACTCAGCTGGAACACAACTTCCTTATGTAACTCACTACCAGATCCACAGCTGGAAAATCCAACAGTCTAAAATCATACTCCAAACACCTCCCTTCCCAGGGCTACCTATTCCACAAGCGTAAGTAAGGCTTCAAGCTCTCTTCCATTTTCTTCCCCACCTGAGCTTTAACCTGATCAGTAGGACACATGAAGCTTCACAAAGCCTCCAAGGTAACCTACAACCAAAGCAGAGATGTTAACACAGACCGGACACTACACACAAAACCAAACAGGGCCACAGAGTGAGCTATGAGGCAGTGGGTTTACAGCTGGTTCTAGGTAAAAAATAATGTGCATAGTGATCAAGAGGAAAAACACTACGGAAGGGCTGCTTGCTACACCTGAACCTTGTACAGATTCCAAACTGACAGCTACACGTTTTGCAGGGAAAACGGATACAAACTCCCTGCCTGAGTCACCAAGGTAATACAAGTGGACTGCAATTACCATCGAGGGTTTTTTTCCTGGTAAAAGACACCGATGATCAAGCAAACATGGTCCTAAGACAGCAATGGACTGGGCAGCAGTGTTTTTCCAAAAAGCCAGGACACGGAGCACGGCGCAGCTCCCGCTCCAGAAGGCAAGCTCGTAGCTTTCTCTACAAGCCTGCGGGATGACTCAGGCTGTAGAACAGCGCTGGCTCCATTAAAAGAGCAAACCACACTAGTGTGTGACAGGTTTACTGCGCTCAGCTGCCCGACACCGCGATCCTTGTCGCTCCTGGAGGAGGAAGAGAAGCCCTTGGACACGGGGCTGCGAGACGAGCCACGCCGGAACTTCCAGCGCGGGCCACGCTGCGCTCCTCGGGGCGCCTTCCTCCGGCCGGGCCGGGCCGAGCCCCCGCGGAGCCGCAGCAGCTGCCGGGGCCGCCGCCCCCTCCGGCCCGGCCCCGCCGCCGNCGGGAGCGGCCCCTGCGCTGCCGCCCGGCCCGAGCCCCGCGGGGGGGAACCCGGGCGGGCCCAGCCCGGCCCGGCCTGCCCGCCCCCCCCACTGCAGGCCCGGGGCCGTGCCGGGTTATATAAGGCGAACGGGCCGGGGGGAGCGGGGCCGTGCGGGGCCGGGCCGGTTCGGCCCTTACCTTGTGGATTCTCTTCAGCGCCATTGTGTGCGCGAGGCGGCGGCAGGAGGGGCGCGGGCGGAGGGAGGGGGCGGCCCGCGGGACTATTTGCGAGGGGAGGGGGGGAGGAGGAGGAGCGCGGAGGTGGCGGCTGCGCGGGGAGGGGACGGGGAGGGACGAAGCGAGCGGAGGGGCGGGAGGGGACCGGGGCCCCCCGGGGCGGCGGGGCCGGGGCCTGGCCGGTGTCGGGCGGTGGCGGCCGCGGGCTCAGCGCTGCCGCAGCTCCTCCGTTCCCTCCGCCGCCGCCGCTTTATGCGCTGCCTCCGCGCCGTCCGCAGCGGATCACTCCGCCACGCCGCCGCCGCCGCTGTCCCCGGGCACCGCTCCGGTTCCCGGGGCGGAGACACCGCCGTGGCGGGGAGGGGAAGGAAGGGAGAGGCCGGGACAGGAGCAGCGGGAGGAGGAGGAGGAGCGGGAGGGGGAGGAGAGGGCGGGGAGCTGCGGGGACTATTTGTCGTGCCGGCCGCCGTGCAGAACTCTCCAGAAGGGGGAGGGGGAGCGCGCGGAAGGATACGGCGGCGGCGTGAGAGCGCGCGCGCGCGAGGCGGCTGCCGCGGCGCGTGACGCTACAGCGCGTTCTCTCGCGAGAAGACGGGACGGGAAGAAGTCCCGGCCGAGCCGGGCCGGAGGCCGCGGGCGCGGGACCGGCCTGAGGGGACGGAATGGGCCTGAGGGGACGGAAGGGGCCTGAGACCCCGGCAGCCCCGGCCGGAGATCTCCACCCCCCGGCCCCTTGTGGGGCTGCCGCACTCCTCGCCCCCGTGACGCGGGACGGAATGGGCCTGAGGGGACCGAAGGGGCCTGAGGGGACCGAAGGGGCCTGAGACCCCGGCAACCCCGGCCGGAGATCTCCACCCCCGGCCCCTTGTGGGGCTGCCGCACTCCTCGCCCCCGTGACGCTGCGCGGCCCCAGCGCGGAGGCCCCGAGGCCCTGTCGCGGGCAGGCCGGAGCGCACTTGGGCCAGGCAGAGCCGTCCTGGAGCACTTGAGTGGCCGCAGGGGTGACTGGCTTGTCCTGATCGAGCCTTCGGTGGCCCTGGGAAGCACAACACCCGTTAAATGGCACTGAAAGCACCGCTGGTGACAGCGTTCCTGCTGCTTCCTGTGCCCAGGTGGGGTTGAGGCTCCCTGGTGCTGCCTCTGGGCCATGGTGGGCTGTTCTCATGCTGACTTTGCTGCCAGCCTTCTGCGAGACTTCAGAATTTCTGGAGGCACAGAGTGTATTTGGAATTGATTTCTTCTCCCTCCACATTTGTTACAGAGAAAATAAACCAAAAATTCATAAAAATGGCTCTCTGGGTGGTTTTGGTTTGATTTGGTTGAGGGTTTTTTTAGTTTTTTGGTGGGGTTTTTTTTTGTTTTGTTTTGTTTTGGGTTTTCTTTAGTTTTTTGGTGGGGTTTTTTTTGTTTTGTTTTTTTTTTTTTTTCAACTACTTTGGTTCATTTTTTTGCTTCCTGCTCTTTCTTTCCTTTTAATTTTGGGCACTCCTTGATTGCCAAATTCCAAAGAACCCAGCACACCTCATTGGTATGACAAGGCAACACATCCTTCATCCTGGCCACAGCACTGGGAAGGCTCAGACACTAATCCCAAGCAGTCCTGGCTCTTAAAGGACTTTTAAACTGCTTTTCTTCCAGCATTTTCTGCTTTCCTTTAGTATGGCCCGGCCAATGCCCGATCCCAGTCAGGCAGCCAGATCCCATGGCTGGAAGTGACATCACAGATTCCTTTGCTGGGAGATGCTCCTGTGGCCCCCGAGGGCAGCACAGCCCCTGGCTCAAGCCTGGCAGGGCAAACATCGTGGCTGGGGCCGTGTTCCAGGGCACAACAGGCTTCCCACCCCTTGGGAATATCTCTGGGACCTTTTCCTGTTTCTGGGGCAGTTTTCCAAGTACCCTCAAATCACAGCTCTAAGGACTTCAGTCAGCCAAGATGAAAGTAACCTTTTTCTAGCATTCACAGGAGAAATGTTGGATTCTGTCCCCAGGAGGAGAGAGAAACGTGGTTTGGTTGTGGTTCTGGTACCAGGGATAATGAAGATCTGCTGTTTGCTGCCAGCTGGATGCAAACTGCTCCACCAGATAAGAAATGGAAGCAGGAAAGTCATTTTCATCATGGTTTTCCACAAGGTAAGAGCCGAGACATGCAGGAACGGCATTTCTTAGAATCTCAGAGTCACAGACTGGCTTGGCTTGGATGAGATCTTAAAGATCATCCCAGTGCCACCCCCTGCCTGGGACAGGGACACCTTCCACTGTCCCAGCTTGCTCCAAGCCTGCCCAGACTGGCCTTGGACACTTCAGGGATGGGGCAGCCTCAGCTTTTCACACCCTCCTCACAGCATTTGGGGAGATTCCACCTGAAGCTTCCTCCCTTCCGTGTCCCAGGGCCGGAGCTGCTCCTGTAGCCCCTGTGGGTGTGGCTGTCCCCATCCTGGGGACACTGCTGTGCCCTGAGCTCCTGAGGGAGCTCCTGAGGGATCTGCTGTCTGCACCTTCCAGCACCATCCCATGCCAACATCTCCTGCTCTCAAACATCTGAGCATCACTGCAGGAGTTCTCTGAGCCCTGCCTTGTCCTCAGGTGACTCCTGTCTCCATGTGCCTTTCCTCCACCATCTCCCTCTGATGGGCTCTGCAGGGTCAAGTTGCAGTGCTGAATTAGGGGAAAAAAACTCTTGAAGGGCTTAGGGAAAGGCACGAGGATTTAAAGGAATAGAAACTTCCCAACCAAACTGGTTAAATCAAGTTATTCCAGGCTTTGATAACTTATGAGGCCTTGGTTAGAGGGTGCAAAAAAGTCACTCTAAAGGAGGAGAGACACAACTGGAAAAGGAGAAGCCTCCAATGCTGGGCACATACTGGTGGGCAAGATTCAAAGAAAGAGAAAACTCCCAGAAAAAAAGGACGAGGAGCAGCCTCTGTCCCAAAGGTGCTCTGCCCAGCCATACCACCCCAGTCACTGAATCATGGAATCATGGAATGGTTTGGGTTGGAAGGGACTGGAAGCTCATCATGTTCCAGTGCCAGCCTGTGACAGCTCCAAAATGAGCAAAAATGGTTTTTCCACCCAACATGTAAGTGGGGAATCAGTGCCACAAAACCCTGCAGCTGCTGGAGCTGACAGACTCAGAAATCACAGATTGGTCCACTCTCACCCATTACATTCAAACTCTGTTTCTCCTGGGAAGGTTCTGGTGCTCCAAAAGAAGGTGGAACCTCAGTGGGCGTGGGGCGTGCAGCACTCAGAGCAGCCCCACGATCCAGGGATAGAGGGATGCTCCATTCTGCCACCAGGATTTCAAAGTGATCATTGCTGAGGGCTCCAGGCTGGGGTCAGGGTGAGGCAAAGCATCTCCCAAGCTTGGCACATCCCTGGAAAGACATCACATCCCTTTGTGGGCTTTGTGAGCCAAGGTCAGGGTCCTGCAGCATCTGGAGGCCAAGGGGGAAACTCCCAAATCCTTGGGCCAGGACACCTCCCTGGCCCCTTTTGCCACCTCCTTTGACCCACAGCTGAATGCTTGGACACGAAGGCTGTCCAGGAGCAATTGGACAATGCTCTCAGGCACTGGGTGGGATTCCTGGGGCTGTCCTGTGCAGGAGGGGCCTGAGGGGACAGGAGCTTGATCATGTTTGTGGGTCCCTTCCAACTCAGGACATTGCATGATTCTGTGGTCTGTGAAAGTGCTTGGCTCAGCAAGTGAGAGATGATGTGTGCTTAGGAGCTCCAGGAAGCAGCTCCTCTGCTGCCACCAGATCTCCCACAGCACACGGTGACTCCTCACTGCACCAGAGTGTGGCCTGGTTCACACAGCTCAAGGCCACACAGAATATTGCAGAGCACTTTATTTTTGCTATTTTGTGTCAGTAAAGCGACCCTGTCACACGGGACCTCTGAGGGACACTGCTGGTGCAACTGCAGCACTAAAAACACCAACTGCAGCACTTTTAGTCAAGGGACCAAAACCACTTTTGACACCAGGCTGGCACTGGAACCCCATCCCTGCAGGTATCCCCAGTGAAAGCTGTCACTGGGCAGCCTGCCCTCAGCATGAAGCCAGCAGCTCTACCTGCATTCTGAGGGCAATGGAAAAACAAGGGAATTCAAGGAAGGAAATGCTGCTGCCGTGCCCATCCTGCAGCAGAGCCAGCTCTGTCAGTCACGCTGCTGCTGCCTGCTCACAGCCCTTCACCCAAGGGATGCCAGGGAAAACACCCTGCTCCTGGCATGGCTTTTGGCTGGGGACATGCCACGTGTATCCAGCCTCTATCTGGGCGCAGGTGTGGGCACCACAGTATGAGAAACACCATCCAAAGGAGGGAGATGAGGATGATAAAGGGCCCACAGGAGCAGCTGAGGGCACATGGCCTGTCCAGCTGGAGCACAGGAGACTGAGGTCAGACCTCCCCAGGGGCTGCAGCTCCGATCTCTGCTCCCTGGGACCAGGGACAGCACTCAAGGGAATGGCTGGAGCTGTGCCAGGGGGATTTAGTCTGGGTATCAGGAAAAGGTTCTTCCCCAGAGGGTGGTGGGACACTGCCCAGGCTCCCCAGGCAATGGTCCCAGCCCCGAGGCTGCCAGAGCTCAAGGAGCATTTGGACAATGCTCTCAGGGATGGGATGGCATTGTAGAGGTGTCTGTGCAGGGCCAGGAGTTGGACTGGATGATCCTTGTGTGTCCCTTCAACCCCAGGATATTCCAGGACTCCTCGGTTCTCCTGATCTCAGCACTGTGTGTAGGTTGCTGTGGACACAGTTGATTTCTGTGCCCCACTCAGCCTCACAGAGGTGTCAACACCAGCCTGGTTGGAGGTGCCATGCTGCTGGTTCACAGAGGTGCCTTGTGGGGTTTTATATGCATTTAAAATCTTCCAGCATCATGTGTCACTTCTAGTTCCCTCTGCTTGAGGGAATAGCAGCAAACAGGGACAGAGAAAATGTCAGTCAAGAGAGATCTGGAAAAGCAAATTGTTGGCCAGAGGAAAGCCAGGGAGGACAATGGGGGCAGTTTCAATCCTGCCACTTCTTGTTGGCTGTGCAGAGGCACTGGGCAGCACTGGGCTCTCTGTTCCCAGGCAAGCTCAGGTGTTCACAGGAGG